GGCCATGGGGCTGGTCTGAGACCCACCTTGCAGGGGACACACGTCTGGCCCGCAGTGACAGCTCATCAGCACCTCTTCCTTCCCTGACCTTCCCCAGTTAAGGCTGTCCACTTTTCAGAAGAGTTGTTTTTTTTTTTAAAGAGCTTTATTGAGATATAATTCACATAACATAAAATTCATCCCTTTAAGGTATACAATTTGATGGTCTTAAAAGTGTATTGAGATGGTGATGCAGCCATCACCGCTATCTAGTTTCAGAGCATTTTCCGAAATTCCCTAAAAAGACCTAGTCTGTTGCTCCCCATCCCCCTCCCCCAGCGCTGGCAACCGCTAATCTGCCTTCTGTTTGTCTGGATTTGCCTTTTCTGAACATTTCATATAAATGAAGTCATAATAATATGTGGACTTTTGTGACTTTAAACAAGTTTTTAAAAAAATATCTTTTCCCTTTTATTAGCAAAATCTATTACTTTTTAGAGGGAAAGTTGACGGTGAAGCATCCCAGCCTTTCTGGGGTCTTGGAGCCGCAGCCCTCCCCTCCCCTCCCCTCCCCCTCCCAGCCCCCTCCTCCAGCCCCTCCCTCCCCTGGATGGTCTGGAGGGTTCCAGATGCTTCCTGGTCTTTGATCACATCTTAGCCTTGAGCTTGCTGACTGCCAGCTCTTTTCTGGAAATTTCTCAGGGGATGCTCCTGAAGCTCCAGGTCTCTGAGCCGCTCTCTGGAGGGTCTGACCCTGTGGAGCTGGGCCAACTGCGTGGGCCTGGAGCCTAGATCCTGACTTTGGCACTGCTCGTTAGCTGTGTGACCCTGGCCTAGTTAATCACCGCTCTGCGCCTCCATTTCCTCTTCTGTAAACTGGACTCAGTAGCGACCCGACGAGATGATCTGGTGTTATTGGCGTCGCCGCCACCAGCGTCGTCGTCCCTGTGAAGGGTTTTGAATTTGGACTCACGTGAGCTGGATTCTGGCCCCGGCTGTGCCACTCGCCAGCTGTGCAGCTGCAGCAGGTCCTGTCCTCTCTGAGCCTCCACTTCCCAGTCTCTGAACTGGGGCTAATAGATGTTGCTTTGTGGTTTTTGGGCGGATCAATTGTGAGACTAGGAAAATGGATGGTAAACCGTAAAGTACCATGCCTTGTGAAGTGTCCCTCCCATGTGCTGCGGCCTCCTGGCAGCCTCGCTGTGGTTCCTAAGAAAAGCTCTGCCTCGTTCTCAGCTTTGCCCAGACTCGCCTCCTGAACGTGGCTGCTTTCCCACGGTGCTCTTCCTGAAAGGCAGTGTGGCCTAGTGGTTAAGAGCGAGGGCTCTGTGGGGGTCACTGAGACCCGAGTTCCACTTGGTGGTCAGGTGACCTTGAACAAGTTGCTTAACTGAGGCTTAATCTCTCAGAACCTCAATTTTTCTTCCTGTAAAATGGGGATAATAGTGGTACCTACCTCACAGGGTTGGGAGTTCAAAGTGATGATCTTAGGAGGCCCCCCTGCTGGCAAAGCTGATTCAGTCTGTATGTTACCACCCAAGGGGGCTCGTCTGCTCGCTGCAAGACATGCCAATGGTCAGGAGGGAAGGTGGTGGGAGAGAAAGGACTTTATTACAGCTTGCCAGCAAGAAGGAAGATGGCCCACTCATGTCCGAAAGGACCATCTCCCAAAGCAAAGACTACAGGCCAGTTATATACATATATAACGGGGGCCAGCCTCCAGGTGGGGGAGGTGGGTGGTCTCTGGGTGGGGCAGACATCTGGTCCCAGTTCCTGAGAGTCCTTTGTTTCACTGGATGTGCCTCAGAGAATGGAGCAACTCCCTACACCCTGATCTTTCAGTTGTCATTGATGACGGTATCAGCATGGGCTTTCTGCCCAGGGGTCATCACATTCCTAAGAAACTCAAAAGAACAAAGTTATCATCTTAGAGCAGCTGGGAGGGGCCGTAAAATCTACAGAGCACGTCTGGGCTAGTCAGTCAGGGGTCATTCAAAGTTACAGTATAGTTTCCTTTCTACAATATGGCTTCTCTTATATCAAGCTTGTGTTGACTAGTATCAAGTGGGGCTGCCGACGACAGTGTTGGAAGCTGGCTTGTGAGGGCTGCGGGAGTCTCTCCAGGCCTCCCCGCGGGTAAGTGTCGGGGGAGATGTGTGTCTTCACGGCGAGCCCGCTGTGCTCCTTGTGGGGAGCACTCAGGCCAAAGGTCCTCAGTCCTTGGGTGTCTGGCTGAACAGGCCGCAGAGGCCACTGGGCTCAGGCTGGCGACTGAGGGAGGCTGTGGCTGGTCCGATGACCCTCCCCAACCTTGACAACCACAGCCCCAGGCCATGTCCTGGTGGCCTTGAGCCCCCCTCTCCTCTTGAGGATGTCCCTGGAGTGGTGGCCTCTGTGTTCCCAAGACCCCTTCCATGTGACGCGCCCCGCCTGCACCCCACCCCTTAGTGCCCCTGCACCTCCAGATAGAACGTGAGAGACTGTCGGACGCCACAGACACAGACCAGGTCTGGCCCTCAAATGTGTCTTGCTTGTTTTCTCTGCTTCCTTTTTTTTTAACCATTTAAAAAAACTGTGGTAGGGTCCACATAACCTAAAATTGACCATCTTGACCATCTTTAAGTGTATGGGTCAGTGATGTAAGTACATTCGCGTTGTTGTGCAGCCTTCACCAGCATCTGTCTGCGGAAGTCTTTTCATCTCGCAGAGCTCCGTCCCCATTAAACACTAGCTCCCCGGTCCCCTCTCCTCAGGCCCTGGCAACCGCCATTCTACTCTGTCTCGATAGATTTAGTATTCTGGGTGCTTGTATCAGTGGAATCACAGTACTTGTCTTTCTGCGACTGGCTTATTTCACTTAGCATAACGCCCTCCAGGTTCATCCATGTAGTTGCAAATGGCAGAATTTTCTTCTTTTTTAAGGCCAAATAATATTCCATTGTATGGATATACCACATTTTGCTTATCCATTCATCCATCAGTGAACACTTGGGTTGCTTCATGTTTTCGCTATTGTGAATAATGCTGCCGTGAACATGAGTGTGCAAGTACTCTTTGAGACCCTGCTTTCAATTCCTTTGGGTGTATACCCAGAAGTGGAATTGCTGGATCATATGGTAACTCTATTTAAAATTTTTTTTTTAAAGGTATGCTTTTTGGTGAGGAAGATTGGCCCTTAGCTAACATCTGTTGCCAATCTTCCTCCAGTTTTCTTTTTTTTTTCTCTCCCCAAGGCCCCAGTACACAGTTGTATATCCTAATTGTAGGTCATTCTAGTTCTTCTATGTGGGATGCTGCCACAGCACGGCTTGATGAGCGGTATGTAGGTCCGCACCCAGGATCTGAACTGGCGAACCCTGGGCCGCTGAAGTGGAGCGCACAAACTTAACCACTTGGCCATGGGGCCGGCCCCTATTTAAAATTTTTTGAGGAATCTACCATACTGTTTTCCACAGCGGCTGCACCATTTTGCATTCCCACTAGCAGTGCCCAAAGCTTCCAATTTCTCCACATCCTCACCAATATTTATTATTTTCTGAGCTTTTTATTTTTTTTAACAATAGCCATCTTAATGGGTATGAAGTGATATTTCATTGTGGTTTTGATTTGCATTTCCCTAATGATTGGTAACATTGAGCATCTTTTCATGTGCTTATTGGCCACTTGTATGTCTTCTTTGGAGAAATATTTCTATTCAAGTCCTCTGCCAATTTGAATCGGGTTTTTGTTGTTGTGTTGTAGGAGTTCTTTATATCTGCTGGATATTAGCCCCTTATCACGTAGATGATTTGCAGGTAGTCTCTCATTCTGTGGGTTGCCTTTTCATTCTGTTGATAGTGTCTTTTGATGCACAAAAGTTTTTCTTTTTTTAATTTTTTTTCTTGGAGGAAGATTAGCCTTGAGCTAACTACTGCCAATCCTCCTCTTTTTGCTGAGGAAGACTGGCCCTGAGCGAACTTCCGTGCCCATCTTCCTCCACTTTATATGTGGGACACCTATTTTGCCAAGTGGTGCCATGTCCACACCTGGGATCTGAACCAGTGAACCCTGGGCCACTGAGAAGCTGAACGTGCGAACTTAACCACTGCGCCACTGGGCCAGCCCCTACAAAAGTTTTTATTTTGATTAAGTGCAGTTTATCTATTTTTACTTTTGTTGCTTTTGCTTTTGGTGTCATGTCGAAGAAATCATTGCCAAATCCAGTGTCATGAAGCTTTTCCCCTATGTTTTCTTCCAGAATGTTATCGTTTTAGCTGTTACCTTTAGGTCTTTGATCCACTTTGAGTTAATTTTTATAAGCGGTGTAAGGTAACAAATGGGTCTAACTTCATTCTTTTGCATGTGGATATCCAGTTTTCCCAGCACGTTTGTTGAAAAGACTGTCCTTTCCCCATTGAATGGTCTTGGCACTCTTGTCGAAAGTCATTTGACTGTATATGAGGGTTTATTTCTGGGCTCTCTATTCTGTTCCGTTGGTCTATATGTCTCTCATTATGCCGGTACCACACTGTTTTCATTACTGTAGCTTTGTAGTAAGTTTTGAAATCAGGAAGCGTGAGACCTCCAACTTTGTTCTTTTTCAAGATTGTTTTGGCTATTTGGGGTCCTTTGAGATTTCGTATGAATTTTAGGATGTTTTTTCTATTTCTGCAAAAAAAACGTTGCTGGGATTTTGATAGAGGTCGCAGTGAATCTGCAGATGCTCTGTGTAGTATTGATGTCTTAAGATGATTAAGTCTCCCGTCCATGAACATAGGATGTCTTTCCGTTTATCGGTGTCTTTGATTTCTTCCAGCAACGTTTTGTAGTTTTCAGTGTACAAGTCTTTTGCCTCCTAGGTTAAGTTTATTCCTAAGTATTTTATTCTTTCTGAGGCTATTGTAAATGGAATTATTTCCTTAATTTCCTTTTTGGATCGTTCTTTGTTAGTGTATAGAAATGCAACTGATTTTTATGTGTTGATTTTGTATCCTGCAACTCAGTTGAATTGGTTTATTAGTTCTAATTGGCCTGATTTTTTAATGACTGAGTTAGTTGCCAACGTTTAAATTGTAGTTAAGTTCACATAAAAATCTGGACTTCCTTTTTGTCATAAAAGATTGGCAGATGTGGTACTTCTGGGCTGACATTCCTGTGTGGCACCCACTGCCTGGAGCCTAGCAGCAGCTCCCACCTTTGGCGGAAGCGAGCATCCTTCAGTGTGCCCCCGCCTCCTCCTCCCTCCTGCCCCACGCCTTGCCAGACAGCCTCACTCACAGGCCCTGCTTCAGCTGGCCCGCATGCATTCAGCTTTCTTCCTACGTGTATTTACTGAGCACCTTCTACGCACCGGGCACTGGGAGCACAGCGCCTACACAACAGACAGACGTCCCTGTCTTCACGGACTAGCGTCCTAACAGTAGAAGTTATTATGTGCTGGGCACTGTCCTCAGTGCTTCACATATATTACTCCCTTAATCTCACTTAATCCTCAAGACATCCTCAATATGCGGTAGCCTCATGATACACACGAAGTAACCGAGAGGCATGGCGAAGTTGAGACCTGTCCAGGGTTATCCAATGTCTGTACCAGAAACCTACGCCGTCCGGCCTGAGAATCCATGTTCTAACTGCCCCTCAGTGCCAGAAGGACCCGAATGTGAAAACTCGGCAGTGGAGGCAGGGTGGGCGTGGACGGGGCCAGACAGGCCTGGCCGGAGGTCACGTAACCAGGAGTCAGGTCTGGCGGATGGGCAGTGTGTTGGGGACAGAGTGGGGTGCTCCCCGGGGCCGCCCCTCTGGCCTCTAGGCGGTGCTTCCTCGATGCCTTGTGGATCCCAGACCCTCTCGCTACCCCAGCTCAGCAGCGCCTGCCTGCCGGGAGAGCCCGTGTTCCTGAGGAGACAGCAGTGATGGTGGGCCAGGCTTGGCGGGAGGTCGGGAGGTAATTGGCGGCTGTCTGCATTGACAGGAGCAGACAGCTGAGAAAGCACAGACCTGTGGCCGCAGGGCAGCCCCACCCTCTGCTGAGCCCGCTTCTGCCCAGATGTAAATGTGGGTTTGTGTCAGGTTGGCAGACAGGCCCCAGCTCTTTGCTCCCCTGAGGGCCCTCTGCACCAGGCCCGTGACTCAGTTTCTCTGGCAGATGAGGAGCGTGGGCCGGGGGACAGATGCTGCCCAAACCCAGCCTGGTCCCTTCCTCAGCCCTGGGGCCAGCATCATGCTTCTTGGGGACCATCACAGCAGCCTGGCAGGAGCCTCTGCTGACCCTTTGCTGTTACTTCGAGTGTTTATTGAGCATCTCCTGTGTACTGGTCACGGCTCCTGATGAGCGATGGAGACAGCCCCTCCCCTCTGCGTACAGACGCAGGCGTTGCTGGTGCAGAGCTGTGGTGGGGGGGCCTGCTCGTCTCCCTCCATGCTTCTCTGGGTGCCTCCATATGTCTCTGTCTTCTTGCCCATTGTTTTCCCTGACTCTGAGGGACTCGCCTGCTCTCCCTTCGAGGCCGGGAGAAAAGTGGCACCTTCCCCCGGGCCCTGCTGGAGCAGACCCCCTGGTGGAGGTCAGTGTTCCCCCCACCCCGGTCAGCGTGCATTCTTATTTCCCAGCCCCCGGTGGAGCTGGCCTGCCGGGCGCACTCACGGCGCACCGTGGAGTGGCTGTGCCTGACTGACTGCCCTGCAGTGTTGGTGGGCTGTCCCCGCGCTGCCCGACACAAGCCAGGAGACAGCTGAGGGCCTCACGTCTCTGATGGAAGGGGGTCTTGTGCAGCCTCTTTCTCCACTCTGCACCCTGCCCACTTTGCAGCCCCCTCTTTTGGGGGCACCCCCAGAGATTCCAGGCAGAGCCCGGGGGCACCCAGAGTTCCGATTGTGATGCAAGAGAGAACAGGAGCCTGGGCCGCAGGCGGGTGGCAGGCAGGCATCCTGGCCCCCAGGTCAGCACTGGAAAACCCGTCTTTCACCGCATGAGGGTCTGAGTGGCTGTGGCGTGGGGACAAGCGAAGTCAGAGCACACCCAGCCTGGTGCCGAGGAAGCAGCCTGTCTGGGGGCACCGGCTCAGTGCAAGTGGGTCTTCCTGGGGTGATTTCTGAGGGAGGGAAGGCGGGTGGGGGGACCCCAGCTGTTCAAAAGGAGGTAGACCCATCTGTTTCAGGGTGGGGGGAGTGTGAGAGGAATACATCGTCTTCAAGACTTGAAAATTACTGAAGAGCATCAAGAACTTGTCAAGTATAATCCCACAGTCCAGAGACCTCTAGTTTTTTGTATCGTATTCACAATTTTGTTTTCAGATTTTTCTTGGGCTTAATATGTTGAGGCACCTTTCCCCATCTCACTTAAAACTCTGATAAACACAACTGCAAGGCTGACACAGCAGTCTGTGTGTGCACAGACCATAATTTACTTAACCACTCTCCTCATGCTGGGCTGTCAGCTCTTTCCAACTTCGTGACTAAGGGATGACAGGCCGCCTCATGCATACCATCCCTCACTCCCGCTAGGGCCGGGGAACTGGGCACTCCTGGTACCAGACTCTGAACAGAAGGGGGTGGTGGTGTGGGCAGACAAGTGGCACCAGCTTTGCCTTGCCCCTCATGGCCCATGGCCCATGGCCCGCCTTCTCCCCCGGCCTACTCAGAGAAGCAGAGGCCGGACTGTTGTGGTTCGGCCACCTTCTCCAGCCCCAGGAGGCAGGGAGCTCCCAGCCCTGCTGCCCACAGGCTGGTGATGACATCTCAGCCAAGTAAAGTAGGGAGATTTGGCACACACACCCCAAAAATCCCAACGTCTGGCCTCTCTTGAAAGGTCAGAAGTTTGGCGACACTGGGCCTGAGTCCCCTGGCTGCAGTCCGCAGGTGGTGCATGGCGGCTGCCTCCTCCAGGTGGATCTTGGGTGCCGGTCCTGCACTGCCCCTCGCCCAGCTGACCTGGCTGGCCTGTGTGGGCAGTGGCCTTTGTCACCTGTTGTTTAGTGATAAGAAGCCAGTGCTTCGTGGCCCGTCTGTGTAAACCACGCCCCCTAACCCTCCAGTGAGGGTCTGACTCTCACTGCGCCTTTTCCAAGGGCACTGTGGTCATCACGGAATCTTCTGCAAGAAAACCCCAAACATGGTCTGATGAACGCTGGTGCCAAAGTCTGTGTCCGCATTCTGGGTTCTTTCCCGATGAGAGGCTCCTGGAGGTGGGCTGACACGGAACCAGGGTCTGGGTCCTGTGGGGAGGGTGGCCAGCTAGGGGATAGCTCCAGGTAAAGGCCGCCACCCTGGGATCTCTCTCGGGGCTGGTTTCCCTGCCCCAGGTTCCCTTGGAGCCGGGTCCCGGGCCTCCTGATGGGGTGCGCACACCCTTCTCTTTCTCCCAGCCTCTGCCGGCCACACTTCTCCTGCGGAACCGACTGGGAGCTGGGGTGGACGTAGGCCCCAGAGGTGCCCTGGTCTCTGGCAGACCTGATCCACAGACAGACTTACCAGGAACCACTCAAAGTGGAGAATTCCGGGGGCTGGGCAAGGACAGACCCAGGTTTTGTAGAGTTGGAGGTTTTTACAACTTGGGAGCCCTTTTAAGAAAAAAGAATATAAAGTTACAAATACAAAAGTAGGTACAGGCCTTGGCAGGGGCCTGTGAAAGGCAGGTGTCCCAAGGGCCAGGCTCCCGAATCTCCCAGTGAGCTGCCACTGGCATGGGCCGAGGGTGACACAGGAGTCACCTCTGTGCACGTGTTCCCAGGCTTTCCCAAGAGCCCAGGCTCACTGGGTCCTGCGGTGGGACAGGGCACTGAAGGCTGTCAGGACCAGGCCAGGTGCCTCACCTGGAGCCCCAGGTGTGGCCTGAAGCTTGCACACAGGGCGGGTTGGGCAAGAGGCTGGGTGTGGGCTGGAGGTGAGGAACACGGCTCACTGTGACCCTGGCTTTGTGTCGGCAGGTGGAAAACCTGAAGGAGAAGCTCATCAGCCAGGCCCAGGAAGTGAGCCGCCTCCGATCAGAGCTGGTGAGGCTCGACCACAGCGTCCTATGGAGGGGGGTCGGGGCTGGGCAGACCCTGCACAGACTGGCCCCCCAGATGAGGGGTTCGACCCTGTCTCTCCCGAACCCCACGTCCATCCAAGCTGGGCTGTATCCTGGCCACGCAGACCCCCGTCCTACTTGGAAACACTCCCAGAGAATACTTGCCATCACTCACTGGGCCCTCCGAGGTCGTGTGACCCCCCAGGGGAGGGGGGCTAATTCTCATTTGCTGACATAAAATGGGAGTGTGAACTCTGTGTATAAATATGACTTTTCTTGTTACTTTCACACTCCGGAAAATAGAATGGAAGGGGTGGGGTGCAGGGGGAGCACTTCCTGCTTCCCTGCCAGGCTCGCCCTTTCTCTCTGCCATCTTCATCTTTGTTTTTCTCTTGAGCACCTTCTCTCTTCTTTCCCTCACTCACCTCTCTTTCTCTTTTCTCCCTCTTGCCGTCTTTCTCCCCGCTCTCCTCCCTTCTCCCCTGCCCTCTCCCCTGCCCTCGCCCTCTCTCTGCCTCCTTGCTCCTTTCTTGCCCCTGACCTGCCCTCCCCCATGCCCCCCCTCGGCCCTGGCTCTCTGCAGGGAGGCACCGACTTGGAGAAGCACCGGGACCTGCTGATGGTGGAGAATGAGCGACTGAGGCAGGAGATGCGGCGCTGCGAGGCCGAGCTGCAGGAGCTGCGGGGGAAGCCGGGGGCCGCCTGCACAGGCTGCGAGCACAGCCAGGTGAGCGCCGGACCAGGTGGGCCTGGAGGGCTCAGTTCCTAACAGTGACCCTGCCCGCCTGCCTGCCTGTCTGTCTGTCTGTCTGTCTGCCTCACACCTGTCCCTGTGCCTCCAACCCCCGGTCTGCAGGAGAGCGCCCAGCTCCGAGACAAGCTGTCCCAGCTCCAGCTGGAGGTGGCGGAGAACAAAGGCATGCTGTCGGAGCTGAACCTGGAGGTGCAGCAGAAGACCGACCGGCTGGCCGAGGTGGAGCTGCGGCTCAAGGACTGCCTGGCCGAGAAGGCGCAGGAGGAGGAGCGGCTGAGCCGGCGCCTGCGCGACAGCCATGAGACCATCGCCAGCCTGCGGGCCCAGTCGCCGCCCATCAAGGTGAGCCACAGGCCTGGAGCGCGGGCAGTGCCCTGCGTGTGCCTGGACTGTGCCTTTGTTCTTGGCCCCTGGCGCCCAGGGCAGGACGTCAGAGGGGCTTGTCCTGGTGAACAGTCAGTGTGCACGGTTGAAGGAACCATTCCAGGTCTGCACTCAGTCCTGCCCCTTCCCCTTCTGGCCATCCAGCACCAGGCATGTAGTGGGCATCCAGCAATCGGCACTCGAGGTGCCCGCCGTGTACCTGGCATGGATGCTGTGCCTTGCTAGATTCTGCCCTTCTTATCTGTTCTGCGCCCTGTTCTGGGCCGCAGCCGGGCTCGGAGTGGGCTCATGAAGATGAGAAGATTCCAGGGGGCTCTTGCAGCATTCATGTGGGACCTTGAGGCTCCTCTGGCTTTTTCCGGGGACTCTTAGTGGGATGTTCCTGACGGTCCCCTCTGGGCCCCGGGGTGATGTCCAGGCACTCACGCACCTCCATGCACCATCCCCCCCTCGCCATGCAGTATGTCATCAAGACGGTGGAGGTGGAGTCGTCCAAGACCAAGCAGGCCCTCAGCGAGTCCCAGGCCCGGAACCAGCACCTGCAGGAGCAGGTGGCCATGCAGCGGCAGGTGCTGAAGGAGATGGAGCAGCAGCTGCAGAGCTCGCACCAGCTGACCGCACAGCTCCGGGCGCAGGTGCGCAGGCCGTGTGAGGGTGCACGCTGGGCTGGAAAGCTAGAGGCGGGCCTGAGGTCCAGGGCAGGGGTTGAGCACTTGGGGGTCCGACAGACCTGGGTTCCAGCCTCTCCTCCCCCTGCTGGCGGTGTGACTAAGGGCAGGTTTTGTCTGAGTCGCTGTGTCCTCCTCTGTACAATGATCTGACCATAGAACCCACCTGACAGCGGGGCTCAGGGACATAATCACGAGAGGCCCTGCACGGGACCCGGCACACGTGCTCTTGGGAAGGGGTTGTAGTCAGGGTCGTAACAAACGCCCTCTCTGCTCTCCTGGGGCCTGTGGCTCGTACATGTCATGTGCTGGGCCCCAGGCTGATGCTGGGCTGATGCAGGGAGTAGGAGTTGCACGGAGCTCACAGGCCTTCCCAGGAGAGAGCTGGCCATCTTCTGCCTCTCCTGGGTGTGCATGTGTGTTCACTGGTGTGCACAGGGGTGAGGGGCCGGGCTTCTTCCCTCCCTCGCCCCCCCGCACTGAACCCCCGGCCCTGGCCACCAGATCGCCATGTACGAGGCGGAGCTGGAGCGGGCCCACGGGCAGATGCTGGAGGAGATGCAGTCCCTGGAGGAGGACAAGAACCGGGCCATCGAGGAGGCCTTTGCCAGAGCCCAGGTGGAGATGAAGGCCGTGCACGAGAACCTGGCAGGTGAGCCGGCTGGCTGCGCCCCAGCCTGCCCCAGGCTGCAGCCCCTCACCCCGTCCGCCTCACGCCCCTCGTGTCCCCACAGGCGTCCGGACCAACCTGCTGACGCTGCAGCCGGCGCTACGGACCCTCACCAACGACTACAACGGGCTCAAGCGGCAGGTGCGCGGCTTCCCGCTGCTGCTGCAGGAGGCCCTCAAGAGCGTCAAGGCCGAGGTGAGCGCACGCCCTGGGGGTAGGGCTGGGGGGGCTCGGGGCCCTGGGGCAGCGAGGCAGCCACCCAGGCTCCCCTCCAAAGGGCAGAGAACGCCCCCGGACAACATCTCCCCCCACACCCCCTGCCACCCTCAGACCCTGTTCGAAAAACAGCCTGGTCAGGGCAGGTCTTCCTATGACTCTAAACCAAACACATTATGTATATCTTTACGTCCCAAACTTATATCCTCATATCTTGAAAATGCTACCCACAGCTGTTCAGCTTAATTGAACTCTTTCAAGCCGCCCTTGTGCAAGACGAGAAGAGCAGCGGCTGATCAGCCTCCGGGCGGAGCCTCTTATGCCGTCGGCCCCTCAAATCTGGACGTCGGCTCCTGCAGGGTGGAGGGACTGACGCATTTGGGGAATAGAAAATAGCTCTCCTTTAAAAACTTACGTCAGTAATACCTGGATGTAGTGGACAGTTCCACCCCTGCAGAAGGGCGTCAGGTGGGAAGGGAAGGCCTCTCTGCCACCCCAGCCCCATCCCCGAAGGTGGCCTGTGTCCCAGCATTCCCCGCAGGGCTTTCGGAGTGTGCTGTAGCCTGTCGATGTGTATGTACGTGGATTTGTAGTTCCCTCCGGCCCAGCAAAGGGGAACATGTGTATGTGTGGTCTGCATCTTGCTGCTTTCCCCAATGCAATGTGCTTTGGAGATCTTACCTACCAGCTCCTACAGATCCATGAGATAGATGGTGTTATCCCCATCTTGCAGATGAGAAAATGGAGGCTCAGGTCCTCCAGCTGCTCAGGGGGTGAGCTGGAATTGGAGTCCAGCCGCCTCATGTTGTAGGCAAGGGCTAGTGCTGTGGGGTGAGGACTGAGTCCTGGCTCTGTGCAGGGCAACCCTGGGCTACAGGCTTAGCCTCTCTGGGCTCAGTTTCTTCCATGGTCAGTGGGCCTGGTAGCAGCGCCTACGCAGAGGGGTTGCTGGGAACAGGTGATGTGTGCCAGCGCACGTCAAGTACTCAGTCCCGGGCGGGAGGCAGTGAGCAGCCTGTGGGGGGCACAGGCAGTCGGGCAGATGGGCCCGTGGAGCCGGCCCCTGATGGCACTGCTCGTCCCCCATCAGATCGGCCAGGCCATCGAGGAGGTCAGCAGCAACAACCAGGAGCTGCTGCGCAAGTACCGGCGGGAGCTGCAGCTGCGCAAGAAGTGTCACAACGAGCTCGTGCGGCTGAAAGGTGACCCACCATTAGGGGCTGGGGAGCGCCCAGCATGGAGTCCCCGACCTGGCTCGTAGGTGGTCCCGTCCTTCCCCACGGCCCCAGCACCACGCCTCGGAGCTGTGCTGTCATTGAGGGGTGTGATTCCTTCCTTGTAGATGAGGAACCGAGGCACAGAGGAGGCAGGGGACCTGCTCAAAACTGCAGGCTTGTTAGTGTCCACCTTGGATCTGTCCCAGTGCTGAAGTCCTTGTCCCAGTGCCCATGGCAGGCTACCCTCAGGCCCCAGGTGGCCACGGGGTTGGGTATTGAAGCACCGGGTGGCGGGTGGCTGGGATGCCACTCGTTCTGGCTTAGGGCCTGGTCAAGCTTGAGACTTCACCCATCCACTGCACCAAGGTTAGGGAGCGCCTGTTCTGTGCCAGTTGCTGTTGGAGACACTGAGATATGATATGGGCCCCACAAATGCCATCCCTGCCCTCATGGTGCTCACTTCAGCGGGGGGAGCAGAGAGTCATCATTAGTCACCCAGAGAACCCAACACTGCCCCTGATACCAGACTGGGGAGAAGCTCTGAGAGCCCCTGGGTGTCTGACACAGGGGGTGTCAGGGGGCTTCCCGGAGGAGGTGGACGGGTGAAGGGGAAGTTGGCCATGCTGGCTGTGGTGGGAGTTTTCTCCTCCTCCCAGGAGCACTGGGATGCCCCTGAAGGGCTGGAGGCAAGGGGGCGTTGTGCTCAGCTCTGGCCTCCACACGCCCCTGGGGCTGCCCTGTTGCCTGTGCCCACTCTGCACTGCCAGGCGTCCACCTGCTGTCCAGTGCTGTTTGCCCGTCTCATCCCCAACCCCTGTCCTGGCATTCACTGCGTCCTTTCAAAACGACAGAACAAGCCCCTCGGCTTACTGGGACCCGAGCCCCTCACTGTGCAGATGAGGAAACTGAAGTCCAGAGATGTAAAGAGAGTGTCTATTTTGGTACTCCACCCAGACTGCGTGCAGTGTTTGAGCCCCACAGTTGGCCTTTCCTCCCCGTCCCACCCTCAACTGGTTTGCTCAGGAAGGAAATGTACCAATAAGTGAACTCATCCTGTAGTGTGAGTGACTGATAACAGCTTTGTGGGCCACCTTGCCCTGGGGGCCTTGCTTTGAAGGCAGGGGGCTCTGAACCACTAGGCTGCTTAGGATGCCAGTGGAGACCAGTGTGGAGGCGGTCTGGTTTAACCCTTCTCTCCTCCCCTACCCAATGCAGGGAACATCCGGGTGATTGCTCGTGTCCGGCCAGTCACCAAAGAGGACGGGGAAGGCCCTGAGGCGACCAATGCGGTGACCTTCGATCCCGACGATGACTCCATCATCCACCTGCTGCACAAAGGAAAGCCTGTATCCTTCGAGCTGGACAAGGTCTTCTCCCCGAGGGCCTCACAGCAGGACGTGAGTGTGGCCCTTCGGAGGAAGGGACAGAGATCAGTGGAGAGGGGACACAGAGACTCACAGGGAGAGGGAGAGATGGTGGGAGGATGGACGGAAAGACGTGTTAAGAGTGGGGAAGACAGGATGGAGAAGCCTGGGGCACCACGATCCCTCTTTCCTTCCCCTCTGGAGGAGAGAAGAGGGTGAGAAGCTAAGACCGAGGGCCTTAGGAGCCTCTGCCAGAAGGAGAGCTCCATGTGCAGCCCTCCCACCCTCAGCCCCGCCCACACATGTGGCCCTGCCCACTCTCACAGCCCCACCCACACATGTGGCCCCGCCCACTCTCACAGCCCCACCCACACATGTGGCCCTGCCCAGTCTCACAGCCCCACCCACACATGTGGTCCTGCCTACCCTCACAGCGCCACTCACAGGTGGCCCGCCCACCCCTCAGCCCCACCCACACATGTGGCACCGCCCACTCACAGCCCCACCCATCCACGTGGCCACTCCCAACCAGATGACCCTGGCTCCATTGAAGCAGGGCCCTCCAGCTGTGAGCGCTCTGTTCAGGGTTGTTTCTAGCAACTCCCCGGTCCCCAGTGCAGAGCCCTCAGCCTGTGAGAGCCATGTGGTCTCAGCATCGCTCTTCTCTCATATCTGCCGGGTCCAACCTGCCAGGCCTGTCTTGCCTCTGCCTTCTTGTTGCCATACTTGGCTTCACCTTTGCCCCCATCCTCTGTCTGCTGGCAGGCAGGCAGGCCAGAGGAGGTGCAGGCACGTGCTGGCCTCTGCCTTCATTTTGCTGCGCCCTCCTTGAGAGCTGGAGAATGGGGTTGGGGGTTTGTGAGCTCCAGGGCAGGGGCGGGGGGGGCCCCTTCAGGTGTTTGCCTGCAGTAAGCCCTGTTCTGTCTCCCCTTCAGCCTCTTGGCAACCAGGTTGCCGTTCATGTCCAGTGTAAGTGGGTTATTAGTTGTGAATTCTGCACAGTGAGCTGGTTGCTTACAATAGCATGTGCTGCATTATTGCTGAAGGAGAGAGCGCTCAGGGGGAGGGGGCTGGAACTGTAGCTGGTGTGGGGCCCTGGTCTCAGCAGCCCTGGCAGCCCCTCACCCCCCATCTGCATCCCCCCTAGGTGTTCCAGGAGGTGCAGGCCCTGATCACCTCCTGCATTGACGGCTTCAATGTCTGCATCTTCGCCTACGGCCAGACGGGTGCCGGCAAGACGTACACGATGGAGGTGGGTGCTCGCTGGATGGGGCAGGGGTTCAGAGTGAAGACCACTGCCCTGCCGCTGTAGAGGGGGCTCCCTCACTGATCTTGGGGTTTGTGTGGTGTGTGTTTTGCCTCACTTGGTTTTCACAACCACTCTGGGAGCAGAGCCCGTAGCTGTGTTAGCCTCAAGGCACCAGCAGAGGGGCCACCTGGCTCAGTGCACCTGCGATAGTCCCCTGGGTGTGGGGCAGGGGCAGACCCACAACACACTCTGGCATCAGCGGGGTCTCACTCGGCCTGGGGCTGGAGTCCGGGGCAGCACTTCAGCTCTCTCAGGACAGGATTTCACTGCACCACACATGTTTTTTGGGCCCCTGCTGTGTGGCTTCCCATGCTGGGCCTGGGGGCATCAGGGCAATGAGGGCGGGTCTCTGCCATTGAGGGGAGCCCTGGGCAGTGGGAGAGGCTGGCCAGTGGAGGCTGTCATGGGGCGCCCAGCTCTTACCTGCTGCCCCCACAGTCAGGGCAGGGCTTCGTCTCTGGGCTTGTCGCCGCCCCCTCTCCATGGGGTGTGGCCAGGAACAGGGCGCTGAGAGGAGGAAGAATCTCGACTGTAGACAAAACAGAAAACTGGCCCCTGGGGGTGTCTTTGGTTTGTCGGCATTTCCTTGGCTCTTGAGGGGTGCTGTGGGTTCCCCAATCGGGGAAGAGGGCAGGTGTTGAGAGGGTTGGACAGGCCCTGCTGGCCCAGGCCATCAGGCACCCTTTGGCGAGGCTACCAGGCTGGCAGTACTCAAGCCTGGCAAGGGAGCCAAGCAGCAGAAGTGGAAGGAGAGCGGGAGGTGCCATCAAGGGGGAGGCAAGGGCCCCAGTGAGGACCCCAGGTTTCCTTTCAGAAAGGCCAGCCAGCCCATCAGGCCTGGGGCACTTGCTGGCTCTGCCTGCACCTCCTCTCCAGCACCCACAGAGCCCGGTCCATGGCCTCCCTGACATCGAGCACCATTGTGGGCAGTGGCAGGGACATCATCCATTCCCCATGCCCCCTCCCACGTGGCCCACCAGGGCTGGGTATGCGTCTGGCACCCAGCAGTCCCTGTGTGTGGGCTCCTGCCAGGCATTTCACCCAGGGGCTCTGCTGTCTCAGGGCAGTCCTGGCACGGTGGTGTCTCTTTAAATGTGGGAAACTGAGGCCCAAGGAGGTGAAGTTGCTTGCAGCTGGTGGAGGGCGTTTGGGGGCAGACCGGCAGGCAGGTGGGAGCTTCGGTCAGGGAGGGTGGCCTGTGAGGGGAGGCCAGCTGGAGGGAGATGGGGGCCACAGACACCATGTGAGCATCTGCACGGTACACCCCTCATGGTGGGGAGAGGCCCACTCACTGGGGCCTTGCTTCTGCCCCCAGGGGACCCCTGAGAACCCGGGCATCAACCAGCGGGCCCTGCAGCTGCTCTTCTCCGAGGTGCAGGAGAAGGCGTCCGACTGGGCGTACACCATCACCGTCAGCGCGGCCGAGATCTACAACGAGGCCCTCAGGTGGGCACAGGCCTCCTGGGCAGCTCGGGGTCCTCAGGGCCATGTGGAGCCATGTGGGATGGGAAGTGGGGTCTCCCTGAAGCAGGGAGTTGGAGGCTGTATGTCCTGACCCGGCCCAGCGGTCTGCTGGTCCTAGGCCCCTCCCCCATGCCAGTGGGCAGAGGAGAGAAAGGCTTTCTGAGCCCACCTGGGACCCCAGACCCAGGCGTTCCTTTTCCCGTGGAAGTGTCCTCACCCTCCCCGCAGCTGCACCAGGTGGTAGTAAGTGAGAGTGGGGAGGCTGGGGGCTGTGCCCTCAGGGGCTCAGTGCATCACAGGGCAGGAGTGGCGCCACCACAGGACTTTTGGGGAACATTGGTCTCTGCCCTTCAAGGGCCTGAGTGCTGGGAGGAGCTGGAGGAGGAGGAGGAGGGGCGAGGAAGGCTTCCTGAAGGTGCAGTGTGTTAGGGGAACATTCCAGGCTGGGGGCAGGTGCGGTGCAAACAGAGGCAGACTGGGAGGAGGGAGTGACCGCCATCCGCCTGCCCCTCCAGGGACCTGCTGGGACAGGAGCCCCAGGAGAAGCTGGAGATCCGGCTGTGCCCAGACGGCAGCGGGCAGCTGTACGTGCCGGGGCTGACGGAGTTCCAGGTGCAGAGTGTGGACGACATCAACAAGGTGTGGGGCCGGGCGGGGCAGGGCAGTGCTGGGAGACCCTGCCCACAGGCAGAGCTGCCCTAGGGTAGGACACGTCCCCACCCTCTCTGAGCCTCAGTTTCCTCTGTATGGTGTAGCGGGTGACGCCCCTCACAGGGGTACTCGGGGACAGGGTGATTCCAAAGACCCCACTCCCAACCCTGTGCATCTGCCCTCCCTGCCCCCCCGCCCCACCGCCAGGTGTTTGAGTTTGGCCACACCAACCGCACGACGGAGTTCACCAACCTTAACGAGCACAGCTCCCGCTCACACGCGCTGCTTATCGTGACGGTGCGCGGTGTGGACTGCAGCACGGGCCTCCGCACCACGGGTGAGTGAGGGCGAGGGGCAGCCCGGCCCGAGCCCCGCCCAGGGACCCACCCCTGGGGCGGCCTTGACCTGCCCTGTGCCCTCCCTGCAGGCAAGCTGAACCTGGTGGACCTGGCCGGCTCGGAGCGCGTGGGCAAGTCGGGGGCCGAGGGCAGCCGCCTGCGGGAGGCACAGCACATCAACAAGTCGCTGTCGGCCCTGGGGGACGTCATTGCTGCCCTGCGCTCCCGCCAGGGCCACGTGCCCTTCCGCAACTCCAAGCTCACCTACCTGCTGCAGGACTCGCTCAGTGGGGACAGCAAGACCCTCATGGTGGTGCAGGTGAGGAGCGCAGGTTGGGGCAGCCAGCAGCACAGGGGCTCGGCCAGCACCAGGACCAGGGGCCCCTCCCAGGTACCCAGGCTGTGCACGGAAGGGCCACTTGTCCTGAGCAGCTCCAAAGCATGCTGAGCTCCAAACCGTGCACCCCCCAGCCTCCCCAACCGAGCTGGTGACATGCACCCTGTGTACCTCGCACGTTGCTCCTCTCCTGCCTCTGACGTGCCGTCGCTGCTCCCTCAGTTCCCCTCCAGCTCCCCCCATCTTCTCCAGCAAGCCTTCTAGAGTCCCCTGGCTGTGAGCTCCCTCTGCTCAGCATGCTGCCCCCTCCAGTTGTTGGGGGGTGGCTGGTCGGGGTGGGGAGTGAGCCCTGGTCTCTCCCAGGTGTCGCCCGTGGAGAAGAACACCAGCGAGACGCTCTACTCCCTCAAGTTTGCTGAGAGGGTCCGCTCTGTGGAGCTGGGCCCCGGGTCCCGCAGGGCAGAGCTCGGGTCCTGGTCCAGCCAGGAGCATCTGGAGGTACGGGGACCACCACGGGCCTGTCTGGGTCGTGGGCAGGAGGGGAGATCTGGGAGCGGGATGGCCTGGAGCGGTGGGAAGAGGAAGATGCCAGAGGGGGCGGAGCCCGAACTTGAACCCAAACCTAGCAGCCTCTTTAGTTCAAGTATTTCTTCTTGGTCTCTGAGGTCCCTGTGGGGTCGTCTTCTGGTTGGGTGTGCAGGCCGGCACACAGGCACTCGGTAGTAACTAGTTTATTTCTTTACGTGGATTATCTCATTTAACTCTGGCACTACCTGAAGCGAGGGTATCATCATCGTGCCCATTTGGCAGATGAGAAAACGGTTTCAGGAGGCTGGGAAGGGGAGGAGGGGGAGGTGCGGTGCGGGTGGGGAGCCAGGGCAGCGTGGCACCGACCACCTGTCCTCCCCCTCCCCTCACAGTGGGAGCCAGCTTGCCAGACGCCACAGCCAGCAGCACGAGCCCATTCGGCCCCCGGCTCTGGGTCCACTAGCCGCCCAGGCTCCATCCGGAGGAAGCTGCAGCCCTCAGGTGAGCCTGTAGGGGGTGGGTGGGTGGGTGTGCCTCCCCACAGGTCCATCACAGCCGCTGGGCTGCCCTTCCCTGGGGGCGCTTTTTGTTTTTTTAAACTTTATAGAACTTGACCAAAACTTGTGTCGCAACTTGCCCTGGCCCTAGGAAGTAGTAAGGGCGGACAGCCCTGGGCCCGTTTTACAGAGGGGAAATCGAAGGCCCCCTTGGAGGAAGGGGTAGCGTAAGCAGGAGTGCACCCTCCAGCTCCTAGCTGGGCTGCTCACCTGAGGCCCAGGACACGATTCTCCCAGGCCGGCTGGCCGGGCTCGTGCAGTACCTGCCCGTCAGAGCAGCCTGGCGCACCCGGGGGCTAGGGTGGGGGAAGAAGGCAGGGCTCACCTGTGTCCTAGGACTGGCAGCCAGGGCTCCGGCCCCCTCGGCCCCACTCATGGAAAGGCCTGATGAGTGCTTGAGGAGGGGGAGCGGGTAGGGGCAGCAGGGTCTGGGGGGCCCTGGCCCGAGGCAAGCCCACCAGTGAGATGCCTGTCGCTTTGATTTCAGCCTGACGGCTGGGGCTACAGTCTCCAGGTGAGTGTGGGGCCCGCGGCCCAGGGCTTCTTGTTGCCCGCCTGCTGCGCCGGCCACCTTGGGATGCAGGGCTGTGCCGGGAGCTCGGCTGCTCAGGGCTGGGGCTGTCCTTCGCTGCCTGCTGTCTGTGTGCTTCTGCCTGGCTCCCTCGTCTCCCTCCTGTTCTCCTCGACAGACTAACGAACCCCCTTCTCGTCCTGCAGGGAAGTCAAGGCCGGTGCCTGTGTGATGGATGTGTCCACCCTGCTGGCCCCGTGGCTGGACCTGAGCCCCACTGCCGCCTGCCGCAGCGCTGGGGGTGGGAGGCGAGGCTCCTCTTCTCTTCCGCCCCCTCGGAGATGAGAAACACGTTCCGAAAGAGATGGTGGCTCTCGGCTGTGGCTCTGGGTGCACGTGGCGTGGGCTGTACGGGCAGGGAGGGCCGCTCCGCCTGGGGGGCCTGGCCATCCGAGCCGGCCCACGTGGGGAGGGCAGGAGCGTGTGGGGGGGTGCCAGCCCAGCTCTTCCCAGCCTGCAGGGCCCCCTCCGTAGTGGGCGGGCAGAGGAACCCCCAGAAGGCACAGGAGCCGTGGAACTGGGGCTGGTGGGCGGCCTCCCCTCCTCCAGGGGCCTGCACTGGCGTGTATATAGTGTCCTCGGTGTACATAGGAGCTCGGCCCTCCTGCGGGCCGGGCCGTATTTATGGCCGGCAGGAGGCCAGCGGGCAGGATTCTGCTACCCCCACCTGCCTGGCACCAGGCTCTCTCCTTGCTCACTGGCCTCTTGATAGTTTCCTCTCTCTGAAATCCTATTTAAGAACTTTTGGAAGCGTAGCCATTTTTACTTGTTAAAATAAAAGCCTTTTTACACAAGTGTGGTCTGAGAGTTGGTCTCATGGCCCCTGGGGGATGGCTGGAAGCATGGTGTCGGCGTGTGCTGCTGGCCCCCCACTGCTGGCTGGTCACCCACGGCCCTCCCCACCCAACGTCCCCATCAGGATCACATGTCCTGATGTCCGTGACTGGGAGGGGCTGTGCCCTCACCCCACCTGGTCAGCCTGTGACTGATACCTGAACAACGGTGCCATCACCTTGTCTCACAGACGGGAACCTGAGGCTCCTAGAGGCACACAAGACGGTGGCCACAGGGCGCCTTCTGCCCTGGCCGCGTCCCCTCGAGTGAATGGCCACGGCTGAGCGCCCCCTGCCCCCAGTGCCTACAGGACTCCCACCCGTCGGGGGTTGTGTTGGCCTGCACTGCTCCCAGCCCCAGTGGGGCCCTCCCTCCAACCAAGCGGGACTGAACCGACAGCTGCTGCCTCGGGAAGGAGCAGGGGCCCTCCTCTCAGGGCTGACCACTGGGTCAGGGGAACCTGTTCTGGGCAGCCAGCACTGGGGGCTCCTGCGGGGAGTGAAAGCTACGCAGAGCCCTCGTCAGATGGGGCAGCTGCCCTTCCAGTCCTGTCCCTGGAGGCAGCCTGGGGGATGGGGGAGGGTGCTGGGCTCTGGGCCAGCCCAGTGGTGCCTGTGTCTGCGAGGCTGCGCTCCCAGCACCCTGTAGGGTACAGCTGTTGGCCAGGCCCACAGGCATCCATGGGATGCCTCTCCCGCCTCCCCCAGAATAAGTAAACCGGCTCTTTCCCGCCCATCTGTCCCTCGGCTGCCCTCTGCTGGCCACACCGCCTGGCGCACCACCTCTGGAGCTTGGAGGGGGAGTGGTCTCCTCTCTGAGACCAGGCAGGCAGTCCTGGGTCCAGCAGAGCCACGGGCCAGAGCACGCCCCTCCCAGCAAGGAAACCAGGGAATAGTTACAAATTTAATAAAATCTGCCTTATAAATTACAGCAGCAGCCCCCGGGCTCAGTTCGCTGCCCCCAGAAGCAAGAGTTGGGCAAAGCCGGGCAGCGTTGCTGGAGAGAAGTTGTCCGAGAGTTCGGGGCTGTGGAGGGGGCCAGTGGGCCAGCGCCGCCGCCTCCAGGATGGCCATAGGGCAGCAGTGGGGGCCGGGCAGAGGCTCATTGGCCAGTGGGCACACAGGGAACAGGAGGAGGGGCTGAGGCCAGGTCCTGAGGGCTGCTGGGTGCCCCCCACGAGGCTCCTCAGTCCAGACTGGCCATGAGCAGGTGCAGCTCGCGGAAGGCACTGCCGTGGCGGCCACTCAGGCCTGACTTGCTCTTGACAAACCCGCTGATGCTCTTGAGCTGCTTGTAGCACAGCCGGCACTTGTGTAGCCTGTGGACAGAGGGGCAGTGATGGAGCAGCTGGACACGACCCCAAGACCGCACCCGACCCTGGGCCTTTCCTGTCCTAACTGCTCTTGCCCCTCCCCAAAGAAGAAGGCTGAGGCCCAGAGTGCAGGACCCACCTAGGCAGTGCCAGGGCTCAAGGCAGAGCCAGGCCACGGAGGGCCCCACGCCCTGAGCCACTGCCCAGCACAGTGACCTCCTCTACAAGCTATTTCAGCAGAGCCACCATCAAGCTGGCCCGGCCCCCAGGCCCGTGTGCCCTGGCACCCCTGCTCCCAGCATACACACACCCACCCTGCCTGGCCCCTCACCTCTCCTCCCGGCTGATGTCCACACCCACGGAGGGCGGGGCCGCCAGGATGTCAGTGATGAGGGGCAGAAACCGCTGCAGGATCAGCTTCAGGGAGGTGCAGCCCGTCTGCACATAGCTTCAGAGGCAGATGGATGATTGGGGCCATGGACAGAAAGGTCAACAGAAAGCAAGGCACAGAGACAGAGGGGGCAGAGGCAGGATCAGAGGCAGCGCGGGCTTGTTATCACTCTGGCCTCCCTGGAACTTGGAGGGGACAGCAAGGCTACACTGCCACCTCACATAGGCACTGGGGTCTCTCCCGTGGTCCCTGCAGGAGCTCTGGCGCCCCCTCCCCGCTGTGAGGCAGGCTCGGCTTCCCCACATGTACCTCTCATACTTGCTCTGCAGAAGCTTCTCGATCTGCGGCAGGACCGTGGTACACAGGTCCAGCTTCCACAAGGAGCTGGGGGAAAGGGCCAGGGACATGCGTCCTCAGTGCCCGCCCTGCCTACCCACCCACTCCACCTGCCACGGCCACTTACGCTTTCTGGTTGACGATGTTGAGGAGGTCCACCACCACCGACAGGTCATTGATGGCCACAGCCGAGTCCACTGAAGTCTGCAAACAGAGCACCTGTCAGAGGGGACTGTGTGCGACAGTGCGGCCCCGCCTGGGTGTGGCGTGATGACAGGGTTCGTGGGGTGTTAATAAGACTACACCTAAAATGATGAGTGTCAGGCAGGCCCACAAATAGCTGCTCAATGCCCAACAGCCCGTGATGACAACGAGGGAGAAAACAAAAATGAAGTCAGCCACGGGGTGGCGAGGGGGCAGCGACGGGGCCGCCTCACCCCCAGCCCTCCCTCGTGCGGCTTGCCTCCGGTTCAGCCCTGAGCCCCAGGCAGGGGCGGTGCCTGCCTTGATGTCGCCTGTGGTCCACACAGCCCTCACGGTGTCCAGGTTCTTGTGGCGGCTAGTGAGCACCACGCACATGGTGTCGTGGCCTTTGCGGATCTGTGACATGGCATCCTCGTCGACCAGCTCCGCCTGCTGGGGGATCTTCACGGCCTGGTGGGACAGGCACCCAGATGCTGGCAGCAAAGTTCTGCCCTCGCCGCACGGCTTCCACCCGCCCTTGGGTGGGGCCCTACTCACGGGCAGGAAGTCAGAGGCCTTCAGCCCGATGGGCTCGTTCCGGGCAGCAGGGATGATGGTGGGCTCAGCCTTGGGTGCAGGGGTGGAAGTGACGACGGGGGGCCGGGCCAGGACCTCGAGCTGGAGGGATCTGGAGCTCAGCGGGCGGCCACCCTGAGGCCTCCCCTCCACCCACAGCATGGACAGCCCAGACCCCTGGTTCAGGACTCCAACCCATCTGATCCCTACATCACGCCCTCTCCACCCTGATGTACATTTGGCACTGGGAACTGTGCGTCCATGGCTGGGCTGGGCTCTGCTGCTTCCTTTGCTGTGGCCACGTCTGGAGGCAAAAGGAAAAGATGGCTGGGTCAGGCCAGGAGAAGGGACTGGTGCGAAGAAAGCAGGGCTAGTGAGGATGGGGGGTGGGGCTCCGGGCATCTGTAAATGGGGGGACGGAGCAGGAGCCAGCAGTGCAGGTCCTGGGGAGGCCTGAGGGCAGGGCTGGGCCGGGCTCATCCCTCTCTATGCACCAGGGGTCTGGCAGAAAGCAGGTGTTTACCCTGTGTGTGGACGGGACCCAGGGGCTCCAGGGTGTGGTGAACCCGTCATCCTATTAGCGCGGGAGTGTGTGCGCTGGAGTGGGGTGGGGGGGGCTGTGGGGAGTGGGGCACACAGGAGGGGGAGGCCCTTCAGGAACCCAGCCTCAAGGTGGGGCGAGAGGACGGCCCCTCAAGGAGAAAGCCAGGGGGCGGGAGGGTGCCCACCCCCGTCTCTTCTCCAGCTATAAAGCAGATCACGTTCTCTCCTTTCTTAAAGCTTCCAGCGAAACACAAACCAACGACGGCCCACAGGACCTGGCCTCCTCTCCCAGACCCGAGCCCCCACCCTCCTCTTGGCTCCCTCCCACCCAAGGCTCTGCCCTCTTCTCTCCTCACCTGGCCCTCAGGCGTGCCTGATCCCCATCGCAGGGGGCCCTAGTGACCTCTCTCACCAGCCCACCCCTTCCTCCACGGCACGTGTCCCATTTCTAGACCTGTCTGTGTGGTGGTCTGTCTGCTATTTGCCCTCCTTCCCACGGTGTGGGCTCCTAGGGGGCACCTGCCTGCCTTGTTCACACCCAATCACCAGGGCCTAGCCCAGGCTGGGCACACAGTAGGTGCTCTTGAGTGAGCGGAGGGAAAAGACCCAGTGGGAGAGAGGCTGGAGGTTGTGCCATGAAGAGGAGGCTTGGGGGAGGGGCAGGAGCTCCTAAGGAGAGAGGACCAGAGTCCCTGGGGGGCCAGGCTCCGTCCTCCAACTCACCGTCCTCCGGGGGTGCTGGGAAGGGCTCGCTTCTCCGGGGTGGTGTCCGACCTGCAGAGGCGAAGGGGGCTGAGGACTCACGTTGACCAGTCAGAGATCCTGTCTGAGCCCTCAGGGCTGGGGTCTGGGGACCCAGGGCCCTGTCAGGATGTGGGGGATGGAAGGTGGCTCCCAGGCACACAGCTGCTGACCTGTGACCCTGTCCCTGGCCCCACAAACCCTCAGGCCTGCCCCTTTCCACCCACTTGCCCCTGTGGACCTTCCTTTGCTCGGGGCGGGCAGGGGCACCAAGTAGCTGCCGGGCCTCCACTGGGGCCCAGAGGACCTAGGAACAGAGCCTGGGGCTAGGTGTGCATCAGGAGTTAAACCAAAGGAGCGGAGTGGCAAGGACGCCATCCCTGAAGGACGGCGTGCCTCCATTTCAAAATGGGGACGCTGGGGCTCGGAGGGACACCGGGGCCCAGGGCTCACTGATGCTGTTCTTGGGCTGGAAGATCTCGTTGTAGTCCTCAGCGTTCTGGATCTCCGCCTGGGACTCCCGCTCGTCCCGGTCGTCCTCGCTGCTGGGGCTGCGGCGCTCGCTCTCCGAGTTCTGCTTCACCCTGAGGGCAGGGCCAAGCCGAAAGGAGGGCAGGGCCCCAGTGAGGCCAGGGCTGCGCCCCCTGAAGTCTTCCCGGCAACAGGCCTGCGTCCTGTGCCCCCCAGCACCCTGGAGGCCCAGATCACCCCACCTCTGAGGCTTGTTGCAGGCCGTGCTGGGCCGCTCGTAGATGCGCCGAAGGGGGGCGCTGGGGTGGGGTGGCTGCTGCGCCAGGGGCCGGCTGTCCTGCACGGGGTCCTGGGCCACCATGCCTGTCCTGGTGACCCGCGTCAGGTCCACCACATAAGAGGAGACGTTGCTCTGGGAGAAGGCCACGCCTATCTGCAGGAAGTGGCAGAGCTGGGGCAGGACCTTCGCAGCAGGGGCAGTGTGGGGGGGTGGGGGTGGGGCGGGCAGGATCCCAGCTCGGGGGGGAAGTGGGGACAGAGGTGGAGGCGGGCAGGCAGTGGCCCTCTCACCAGCTGGTCGTTGCAGATGGCCAGGTCAGCCACCTTGCCCCAGTTGACTAGGACCACATCAAAGCAGCGCTCGGGCTCCCAGCCATAGACGCGCAGCGAGTCCTGGCAGCCGCTGTACAGGCAGCAGCCATCGGGGTTGAAGAGGACACTCCTGGGCCAGGCGAGAGTGGGCCATGGGTCCCAAGAAATGTGGGCAGGCTGAGGGAGCCCAGGACAGGAGGGAGCGGAAGCAGGGATGGGAAAGGCCCACCCATGTCCCTCCCACTGTCTGGGGGGAGGCCTGGGCCCTGCGCAGCCGCCTGCGTACCTCACAGGCCCCGGCTCCCCTTCGATGCAGCTCACCACCTGGAACTTCTCCAGATCCCAGAAACGGATGGTCCTGCAAAGGCAGCCAGGCTGTGCTGCGCCAGTGCCCCAACGCTGGCCTCCACCCGGGCCTGTGGCTGGGGAAGCCGGGTTCTCTCCAGACACCTGCCCCCACCCCTCCAATCAAGGCCACCAAGAGCAATGCCTGGGGCCACGGGCTGGCCCTGCACAGGCAGGGGGAGGGGACTCAGCAGGCGGGAGGCGAACATGGGCCTTGGATCCCGACATGCCTTTGAAGACCCAGGACACTGGGGCCAGGGGAGAGATGGGACCAGGCTCCGATCCTGGCAGAGCTGGCAGTCAATTCAATCTACATAGGATCATCAGGTGTATGACACCCTGGCACAGAGAGACTGACTGGGGACAGATGTACATACACACACGGAGGGCAGAGATGTGAGGGATGGCCATCACAGGCGATGGGCCCTCCTTCTCACCTGTCAGAGCTGCCAGAAGCCAGGAGGTACTCGTTGGGGTGAAACTCCACCACATTCACAGGCCCCGTGTGGCCAGGGAACTCAGACATCATCTTGCCAGCAGTCAGGTCCCAGAGCTGGGCAGGGCGGGGTGGAGGTCAGGACTGGGCCTGGCACCTTGGCTGCCCGCCCTCCCTCCATTCCAGCCTCAGCTCTTTATCCACAAACCACCTTCCACTCTGGATGGGCTTGGGACAGACACGCGAGCCCAATGGGGAGGGAGGTGAGGACCCAACCTGAGTGTGACTGGCCCCGGGCCCAGGGCAGCCAGGAGCTACCTTCACAGTGTGGTCATCTGCAGCTGATGCCAACCACTTCCCGTCAGGGCTGAACCGGAGACAGCGCACGGCCTGGCTGTGGCCCTGAGGAGCAGACTGAGATGAGCTGGGGACCTAAGCCCAGTGGGCTTCCCTCCCCGCCACCCGACTCCATCCCTGCCCTCGGCACAGTGGGGGCAGGAAGTCTCGGGAGTCCCTGGGGAGCAGGCAGGCAGGGGACAGACAGCCACGTGTGGGAGATGTCACAGAGGGACACTTCTCCACACGCCGTCATGGACAAACCAAGATGGGGTGGTCAAATAGTTTGGGAAACGACGTCTCTCATGCCTCTTTTTGGAGAGTTAAATGCTCTCTCTTAATGTCAAAGGGTGTAAAAACCTCCAAATATAATTTTTTGTTAAACTCAATGCTTCCAAACGCATATGAATAGGCACCCCTTCACCTAATGACACCTGTTACCTGCCTGCAAACCCAGAGCACGGAGCAGTTTGGCAAACACGGCTCTGGGGGATGCACCGAGAGCCGGGGGTCCAGGTGGACCACCCACAGCACTCCTGCTCCACTCACATTTCTCTCGTTTGCACTCCCATTTCTCACATTCTCACCCATGCTGGACAGCACTCCCTCCAGCCCCGCCAGCGTCGGGCCCCACCCCATGCTCTGTGCCTGCACGGCACTGGTGATGAGCGAGGGCGCCTTCCTTACCCTGTATCGGAAGACACAGCCTTTCCTCCTGATGTCCCAGAGCTGTAGGGAGAGGCACAGAGGGGCGGAGTCAGGATAGGTCATAAGAAGGTGCTGGGGCCGGGCAGGATCCAGGCACTGAAGCCTGGTTCAGAGGGCACGGTGCAGCCACAAGCAGAGAGGGCTCTGGGTCATTACACCCCAAAATGCCAGGGGTCTGGAACCTGCTCACCAACGCTGGGCAGACGCCACTCACTAACCCTGAGCAGAAATGCCTGGTGAACACCTCCACATGCCCCTTCCCCAGGAGGCTGCAGCTGCTGCTGCAGAGGGCAGACGCCCCCCCTCAGAGCCAAAAGCCAGCCCCTCAGGCAGGACACACAGCTCGTCCCCTGGCCGGCCCTGCGGGGAGGCACCAGGCTCGGAGCGGAGTCTCACCTTGATGTTTGTGTCCTGGGAGCCCGAGGCTACGAACTCGCCATACGGGTGGAAATCCAGGCTGCAGATGTTGGCTTTGTGTCCCATGAGTGTGCGCAGAACTACCAAGGGAGAAAGCAGAGACACGGCGTGAGGCACGCAGGCCGGCCCCGGAGGAGGGCTGCTGTGCTCCCTGTGTGTGCTGTAATGCAGCTGCACAGAACACAATGACACAGACTTCACAAATACGGGGAAACCAACCAGAGTCCTACCACCCCAACAACTAATTTTCTTATTTTTAACCCAAGAGATAACAGCCATTTCTGTCATTACCCGAGCCCCCAGAAAATGTACCCCCTGGCTTGTGACTCTGGGCTCGCCCCATGGATGTGCAGCTTATGATCTGCCAAGTATCCCACCACACTTGAGACAGAGCAAGAAGGATGCAGCAGAGGTCCAAGCTGCGGGAGAAACTGCTTGGTTGAAAAGAGAAATCCAGGAAGGCTTTTTGGAGGAGATGGTATTTGAGCAGGCTGTAAGGCAAGAGGATGAGGGAGGATGTCGAGCAGAGGGGAGTGATGGGCAAAGGCCCCAAGGAGGGCAAGTGGAGGGTGTGCCTGGGGTGGCCCCGATGCTCACACTCGTCCTCTGTCCAAGGGATCTTGAGGGTGGCCGTGAGGACACTCAGTGGAGCTGTGGGACTGAGGGAACACAGGGAGGACATGACAGGGCCTCAGAATGCTCAGGGGCAGGGGGTTGCTCGCCTCCTGCTGCCCCAGGGAACCATGTCTGCCACCGTTCAAAGCTCTGCAGGCAGCTCTGTGGCCCAGCCTGGCTCGGCCCACAGGCAAACCTTGTGCTTCTGTCTCGACAGTTTTCTCTGGTAACAGATTTGCCTCTTCTCTCTGGCCTCATGTGTCTTGCTTTTTAAAAGATTTCTAATTCCACTGTCTGAATGACATCAGTGACCCCACAAGTGCTGGGGCCAGGGGTGCGGGAGTCCAGCCATCCTTAGGTTTGAGCCATGGTGAAACAGGGTGCCTTGGGAGGCAGTGAGCTCTTTGTTGGAGGAGGAGTTCAAGCAGACTTCAAATGCAATGCTTTAGGGACAAAGAGTCGAGCTCCAAGCACTGAGTGAATTAAACAAACTCTACTGTGATTGTCTCCATCCTTCAGGGTCCGTGTCCAGGGCTCTGGAGCCAGACAGAACTGAGAGAAGTCTTGGCTCTGCTCCTCACTTGCTGTGTGACCCTGGGCAATCCCTTACACACTCTGAGCCTCATAGTGGGTCATGGCCAGAATTATGTAATAAAATGGACCTAAAGTTCTTAGCATGGGCCCGACGCATGGTAAGTGCTCAGTAAATGCCAGTTATAATTACTATTGGTGTAATTTCTTCCTGCACAAGGCCTGCCTTCATCCCCTCCTCTCTGTCCCCCAGGCTGGACCTTCTTTCCTCCTCAGGCCTCAGAGCACATGTCCTGGTTCTCTCTCTTGGAGCCCCAGGGATGACCCACCACCCAGTGCCATGGCCATTTGGGCACCTGTCTTGTCCCAGGACATCTGCTGAGCACTTCCGGTGTTCCCAGAATAGGCTGAGTGATTCCGAGCAGGAGTCCGCCCCCAGCAACGCCGGGCGGTGGGGATGGACGGAGGCTCAGAGGGCGCAGCAGCCTGCCCAGGCCCATCAGCAGGGCGCAGAGCCCGGCTTTAAAGCAGGCATCTGACTGAGCAGCATGCTTCCCGTGTGGCCCTGCACCTGCCTCCCATTCGTCTAAAGCTCCCAGGACAGGAGAGGCACACCTGAGAGTAGGAGGGAGGGAGTTGTTCTGGCTGTCATCTGCCTTGGGGACAGAGTCCATCCCCTCACCTGCCACCTCCCCTGATCCCCCCAGGTGCCCCTCTGTGCAGGCACCTGGGGCTGAGCTGGGACTGAGCCACCTTTACGTCCTTCCCAGACTGTGACCAGGCACCTGCCACGTCTGTCGAGTGAGTGTCTATTTCAACCACACCAAAACCTGAGCAGCTGCCCGTCCTCACTCTGTAGGGGTCACGCATCACTAGGGGCTCAGCACTGGCTTGCTGGCCAGGGTGGCATCGGGCACAGGCTCCCAGTCCAGGGCCTGGAGGGTGCAGACTCATGCCAGCTCCTGCTTCAGTCCACTCGCTTTGCATCCCACAGCACGTCTTCCAAAATCCTGCCCTGCTCCGAGAGAATGCGGCAGGTCCCAGCCCCGCGTGGGCCAGCGTCATGAAGCGCAGCCAGCCTTGCTGTGGGATCCCCGGGCTGACCCACCCTCGCCCTCTGGCTGCACCGTGGAAAGCCGGCAGGACCACATTCTTCTGGTGTGACTTCTGCCCTTGCTCTTCTGTCCCAGAAGGGCCCCTGGAAGTCCTCCTGATGCCAGACTCAGTCACAGGATCCGGAACTGCAGAGCGGAGGGGCCTGCGGGGGCTGTGTGGCCCGTGTGGGAACCCCCAGGCCCTGCCAGCTGAGTAGCTGGTCGGCCTCCACCCGAACCCTCCAGTGATGGGCTGCCTTTCAAGGCAACTGATGTGACAGTCAAGCAGCCCTTCCAGAACCCCTTCTGCTCCTGGGGTGCTAATATGTGGGTCATTTTCACTCCCGCTGTGGGTGGGGGTGGAGGTGGGCCTGAGTCTCAGCTCTTCCTGCCGAGGCTGCTGAGAGCACGTTTCTCTTCCATCAGAGAACACCCCTAAACATGAGGCAGCAAATGGCGGGCGGACAGCTGGGATGGGAGTCTGGACACCAGGATTCAAATCCCAGCTTCTGCCACCCCCAGCCACGGGGTCTTTACTCTCCCTGGCCCCAGTTTGCCCATCTGTCAAATAAGCGGGCCCTGCCAACCTGGCTCTGCATCAGAATCACCTGGAAGCTTACTGAAAGCCAGATTCCGGGCCCACTGCACTGCCGAGTCAGGTTCTCTGGGAGAGGGGTCTGGCCAGGTGTCTGGAATTAGCTCCTTGAGAGGACCAGCCCTAGATGGCCAGGGCCCAGGAATCCCAGAGGCCTTTTCTTCAGTTTTCCTCCTTTGCCCACCTCAAGGAATCCCTCACATTCCCTCATGAGGGACACAGTCGTGGCTGAGAAAGCATGGTGCCCTCGGCTCCCCACTGCAGAGTGAGGTGGTTGGGACCATCCACTGGGACTCAGGTCCAGGCAGGGCTCCCCAGGAAGTGAACCGCCTTCTGCTGAAGCTCTTCTGCTTTCTCGGCTGGAGCCCAGCCAGCCCGGCAGGCTCCTCCTTGGCCCCTTGAGTCCAGTGACACCCGAGCACACCATGCCCTCGATCCTGCACATGGCCAGGCAGCAGGACCATGTGCTGAGACGCAGCCCCTGTTTGTTATCAGGGGTCCTGGGGCTCCGTCTTTCTTAAGCAGCCCCTCCCCAGTGGGCAAGCATCACCCATGAGGCCCAGGGGCACCATCTTTCTTGAGGACCACCTACACAAGAGGACCACTGTTCTTGAGCAGAAGGAACCTGGCCAGTGGGCATGCGTGGCTGATGGCCGCGGTCCTGCAGCAGAGGCAGAGCGCACACCATAGGAAGCCCAGAAGGACCTGCAAGTCTCAGCCGGGCAGGGGCCTCTCTTCTGGAAAAGCCAGCCTCGATAAAATCCATGCTGCCGTTTCCTGCTCGGCCTTCAGGGAGCAGACGGCCTCCCGCCTGGCATGCTGGAAGGTCCAGGCCAGAGGCTTGGAAAGGGCAGAGGGCAAACACGTTTTACTTGGACCTCTCAGTGTTGGCCTGCATAGTGTTCTGAAAAATATGCTGAATTAGCTGTCAACATGCAGAAATGGGTGGATTCCACATCAATTTCCAGATTCGCAGCTTCTCTTGGAAAATCCATAGAGCTGGCAACACTGGACCCACACTGCTGTATGGCAACACCCGCCTGAGGCTAAAAGGCAGCCCCTCTTTTGGAAAAGGCGAGACTCCCCCCTAGGCCCAGAACAGAGGGCACGAGTTTATAGCCTGAGAGAAGCCAGTGAGGATCTGGCACAGGGACGAACACTGACCCACCAGGTCCACCACTGTGAAACTTCAGCACGCAGGGACAAAGAGGCTGCAGGCCTGCAGAGAGGCAGATGGGGAGAGAAGCAGGGCCCACGCTCTGAGAGAGGGACTGCCGAGGAGACGACACCGCCCTCCTAACAGCGCCCCCGGAACCTGACACGCAACGGAGCTGCACCTTCAAAATTCTGGGGAAAAGTATTTCCACCCTAGAATTCTATACTCGAACTCTAAACAAATGATGGGGGTAGAATAAAGTCATTTTTAGCCATGGACAGTCAGTCTCGAAAACTGTGCCTGTCATGCACCCTTTCTCAGTGAGCTATGAAAGAACGTGCTCCATCAAAAAGAGCGAGAAAAGCGAGCAAGACGGCCACATGGGCCTGGCACAGCAGAGACGAGAGAGCTCCCCGGAGAGGAGACAGGAGGCCCCCGGATGGCAGCTGGGCTGCAGGCCAGGAGCTCCCAGGCCACCGGGACCCAGGGGACAGAGGCTCTGAGAAGAGACGCCTCAATTATGGGATGAGTTTGAGGGTAAACTCAAGGAGGAGGCTGACTCTTCTGGCGGAGAATTTGGGGTTGAATTAGTAACAATGAGGTAAAAAACATATAGATGAAAAAAAGAACAATTATCAACTCCAGGGAAACAAAGTTATGAAAAGAAAAGAAATATAATTAGCTCTGAATAATCCTGTATGGTCCTGATAATATAAACACTGAATGTTTAAAAGGTGACACTGGGAGGATGGAGGGGAAATGTGAGTGACAGAGTCGGGGTGGCTCTAAGAGAGCTCAGTTCTCACCTTCTGTCCTAGGAAGGCAACAGCTAACGTAGCAAGTGTCTTTAAAAAGAAAAGAAAGAAACTGCCATATAGCCGTGTCATTTGGAAAAGTGGAGGTGATGAGCAAAGTGCCAGGCAGAGGAGAGAAGCCTGTGGAGAATGAGGAGTGGGGAAAAGCTCCTTGTCTCATTGTGATGACTCGTAGAACCAGCACTATTTGACTTTCGAAACTGTGCGTAGCTTCTATAAAGATGAAAACCAAACCAAAACAAAGCCCAAGGAAACAGAAGTGCTGGCCGCCCGAGGCCCCATTCCTGCAGGCAACGGAGCCAGAGCTGAGCTGGGCCGCCCCCTGAGGTGGGCGCACACTCCCCAGTTCTCCTCAGAGCCACCTCACTCGAGCCCCTGTTCTGTGTGGTCCCTGGCACACTGGATGTCCTTCTGGGTTCTGAATCCACACAGACACCCCCGCCCCGCCCATCCACACAGTTGTCCGTTCAGACATCCCCTGGGCACCTCCTTGGTGCCAGCACTCAGAGATGGCAGTGCACGTAACTGCTGCCAGGCTAACGGGGGCCAGGGGTCACCACACCATCTGGTCAGGGCTCCAAGAGAGAAGCACCCAGTCTAGTGAGGACAGGCTCCCCAGAGGAAGCGGCTGGACGGCAGAGCCTGAGATGAGTACGGTGCGGGGGTACATGTGGGGAAAGCAAGCGCCAACACCTACTTTTGGCAGCTTCCAGGTCCCAGACGCGAATGGAGCCTGACTGGGAGCCGGCCACGATGAGCTCCTCGGGGGTGTTGAGGCGGACACTCTCCACCGGGGACGTGTGACCCGTCAGGCTCTGTGGAGAGAGGGCGGCAGCATCAGTGAACTGCGTGGACAGACCACCAGCTGCTGCCCCAAATTCTGGGTTCCCGGGAAGGGCATCATGAGAAGCGGCTCAGGCAGGGGGCTGCCTTCACAGTCACATGCAGGCTCCCCTGCAGATGGCTGAGCAGCCGCCTCTCAGCCTCGGCTCCCAGGGCTAAAAGCGGGCCAGGCCCCAGGCAGTCATGCTCCAGCCCCCTCCGCCTGCCCACTGTGCTCCTGACATGGACGTCACCTGATGAAATGGCCCTGGGCTCCCTGGAGGGGAGCAGCCGGCCCTCCAGCCCAGAGTCCAAGCTACCACCCCCTCGGATCTGCTCCCATCTCCTCGCTCTGCCTGGCTCCAGCCCCTCAGGAGGGGAAACCATGGCAGAACCATGGCACACTCTCGCCCCTCTGGAACTTCTGGAGGACCCTGCCACGCGCCCAGGCTGGGGCTCGTGGAACCCAGAGAGGCTTCGAGTGACTCTACTGGAAAAAACTCAGACCCCACCCGGAGCAGACAGAGCTGGGCAGGGCCGAGCCCACGTCCTGGCCTGGCCCCTCGGAGCGGTGGGAGGTGCTGACATTTCCAGCTTTCTGGAGAGGAGGCCAGAATCTGCAGTTCATGGCGTCTGTCACTCCTCACCCAGCGCTGGCCACCCCAAGGCAGTGTTTGCTAAGGCAACCTTCCCCAGGGGTGCTGGGGACAGCACAGAGAAACTGAAGGCCAGTTACAAGCAGCTTGTCCGACTCCTAAATGGTGGGGCTCCATGGAGGGCAACCGTGCAGAATCCATCTACACTGAGAAACACACATCCCTGCACACGAGCACCTCCACCTCTGGGAGCCCACGCTGCATGTGCTCCCACACGCGGGACACAGGGACCAGGTGATTCACTGCGGCAAATCTTCTTGACAAAAGACTGGAAACAACATCAATGCCCAACACAGGAAACTGGCTAGAGAAGCTGTGGCTGTCCGTGGTCGCCCAGGCAATGGACACCACTCGGCCATGAAAACCAACGAGGCCACCCTCTGAACATGACAACGACCTATCTCCAGGATACTCTAGGTGACAAAAGATGGAGGACAGCGTAACAGCAGGACAACACTTGTGTAAAAAATGGAGGGGGAGGGAAACAGGCAGACCATAAAACAATTCTGGGCAGACACGGAGAGATGGGGAGCCGGGCTGTCTCCAGGAGGGATGTGGGGTCGGGGGAGCAAGGAAGACTTTTCACTCTTGACCCCGCACCATTTGGATGTTGAACGGTATGAGTTCATACATGCACAAAAACACACAGAAATGCATCACAGGGGACTGCCTGCAGAGGGAGCCCATGCGCACAGGCTCAGGTGAGAGAAAAGGCGGCTTGTTTGACGCACTGAGGGCCGGGTCCGTGGTGAGCAAGGGCAGAGGCACCGCATGAGGCCAGCTGGGCCTGCGGGCTGCACCTGTTGTCAGAAGATAAGTCTAGAGGCCAGACCCCAACCTGTCCCCTGGGATTCTCTGGGGACAAGAGCATGGGGTCACTTTATGTCCATTTTTTGTCAGTCTTTGTCGATTCTTTTTCAATTTGTATGTTACCTTGGCATTTCAGGGGGGAAAAACACATTTGAACCCTAAAAATAAAGTGAAACAAAATAAAATTTCAATTCTGTTCTTAACCCTGACCGTGGTTTGGGTCACATCTAGGTCCTTTGCTGGATCTCAAAAAGCGCCAGGTGATCAAGTGTTTACTAACACTGAGGTGATTATTCTACTAATGAATATCACCTCAACCCCTTTTTACCTTTATCTTCACTGGGACAAGAGTCCAAAGAACGATAATACTGTGTGCTGCCAGATGCTGGTGAGAATGTACATTGACTTCTGGAGGGCGATTGGGCAATATGTTTTGAAAGCTTTCTAAAAAGTGCATGCCCTTGGATTTAGTGCCATGACCACAGATCTGCTCAAAGATTTAGGTAGATGAGGACGGTCACCACGTGGCTCAGCCGAGCCAGAAAACAGGAAATGACCTCTGAGCCAAGAGCAGGGCGTGGCTAAGCTAATTCCAGCCCATCCCAACCACGGAATACCATGAAGCCATTAAAAATCATGTTGTAAAAGGACATTTGTTGACATAGGAAAATGATCACAATATTGTTATTTTAAAAAGCCAGGCTACAGAAGAGTAAGATAGTGTTCTGGAAATACGTTGTTATCTATTTAGGTGTGCACATGCATGTGTGTACATGATATTGTACATGTGCGTGCACATGTATCAATATCAGCACGTAGGACACAGACCAAAATAGCAGCCGTATGGTCTTTGGATAATGGAACTATATGTAATTAATTTTTGGACTTTTTCCTCCTGTATGCTTTCCTGTTTTGGAGACGTTTTTGGCGCTGAATGTAGTTGCGTGGTAACCAGGGGGAAAGTGCTATTAAAGAAGCAGTTCTCTAACAGCTCCAACCAGCTGCCCTCAAACCCTTTTTGTGGAATGAGGCATGGAATGAATCAAGGCGCAGTCAACATGTTGGGGGGTGGGCAAGGGAGGCTCAAACCCAGCCTGTGGGCTCATTTTAGCCTCCTCACAGGCTCCCTGGAGTTCTGTCCCATGGCCAGGTGACTCCCCCATTCCTGAGAGCTGGTCACTATCCCAACGGTCGGGGTTGTCCTGGGCCTTTTTGAGTAGAGGGCTGGGGGCGGCACTGAGGTGCTTGTCCCCCTGCCCTCGGGCTCAGCACCCAGGAGATAGGATGCCCCGTGCCGTGCCGCAGAGCCTGCGAAGCTGCCTCCCCCGAGCCCCTCCTCAGGCCCCACCCCGCCCAAGTCCCCGCCCAGACCCCAGCCCCTTCCAGGGCCCCCACAGCCCCTCCCCAGGCCCCGCCCACAGCCCCCGCCCCACCCAGGCCCCGCCCCGTCCCCCCCACACCGCCGCTGCCGGGCTCACCATGATGCAGTTGGGCTTGTTGATGGACCACAGGTTGACGCGGCAGTCGTCCCCGCCGGTAGCCAGCAGGCGCCCCGAGGCTTTGCCCAGCACCAGCGAGGACACATTGCTGGCGTGGGCGACGATCTCCTCTGCACAGGAAAGGGCAGGGGAGAAGGCAATCAGGGGGCTGGACGGGCCGCACGCAGGACAGGTGGCCTTGCCCTGCTGGGCCGCCAGCTCCTGCGCCCGAAGCCCAGCAGAGGCTCTGCCCACTTCAGCCCCTTTGGTGCCAGACCCCTCGCGACAGGCCTGAGACAGAGCTACAGTCATTCCTACGCCGCTCTTAGGCCCCATGACTTTTTTCCCTTTTCTCCACATCAACCGGTAATATTATTGCCTTATTATGCTCAATTTTTGAAATTGACTTGCAATTTTTATTTACCTCTGTCTTGTAAGCAATAATATGCGTGAAATTACAAGTTTGAAATGTTCATTATGCTTTTTCTATGATACAGAAAGAAAATGAAAACAATTATTAAAATAAAAAATATTCACCTGTGTCCCACCTAAGCACCTCAGCTGGCACGCGCTGTGCACACAAACCCTGCTTTGGGGAACACACTTTAAGAACCATTCAGGTCAACTCCAGACAAGCTGTCCCCAGGTGAGCTCACTCAGGGCTTCAGCCCACAGGCTCGGAATCATGGACCGGGTTCTGGTCTGAGCTCTACTATTGTGGGCTGTGTGACCTTAGCTAAGTCACTCACCCTCTCTGAGGGCTGGCAAATGGAGAGAACAGTTCCTGGCTCACTGAGTTGCTGAGGATTCACTGAGAACATGCCTGTGAGCCGCTGCAAAGGGAGCGAGCGAGTGCTCCACGATTGTCAGGCAGCTAAGAAGGAATTGCTATAGAGAGTGGGTACTGGGGTGGGCACAAGAGGGTGGGCTGCATGAGAAAGCGGGGCAGGAGGCAGCCAACTGAGAGGTCTGGGAGGGAGCGGGTAGGAGTGAGGGCTGATCCGACAGAGCGGGAGGTCAGGTGGTTGTGGGCGGCCCTGAGGGCGCCTGGCCAGGGCAGCTGGGGCAGCAGTGGGGGAGGCAGACACAGCCTCAGAGAGCATCGTCAGTGCCCCAAAGGGAACAAAGCATGGGCAAGGACCCAGAGGTAGTGCAGGCCTCCGAACCAGGCCGAGTGAGCCCCTCCCCACAAGGAAAAGACAAGACAGGTCTCCCCACCCAGGCAGAGGGGAAACCCCAAGTGCCAATGCCCAAAGGCAACTGGGCGGCTGGCTTGAATGACAGTGAGGAAAAGGGCCCCTCCTGTGCTCCAGCTCCTGCCTCCACCCTGCCTGGGTCTCAGTGCTGCCCGCTGCAGATCACAGGGGGGTTGGGAAACAGCCCGGGGAAGGCTGCCTGCCAGGCAACCTGGCTCAGAGGGGCTATTAAAACTGCCTGGGGGACCAGGGCCCAGGCTGGACCTCAGGATGACACCCTACCTCAGGGCCTGGCCAGGCTAGAGCTGGGCAAAGGGAGCACCCAGCCTCAGTAAGGACAAGAGTCTCCTGCAGGCCCACCCGTCAGCCGGGGCCTTGGGGACACAACCACGGGATCCAAGGGACCTGGGCCCCTCTCTAGTCTGCATCTCAACCCAAGAGCCTTCTGTCCTACTGTAGGGACAGGTGCCTGGGGTGCTCTGGGGCTCTGCCCCGACACGTGTCTGTCCAGGAGCATCTGCTGGGCCAAAGGGACTGCCCAACCCAGCTCCGAAGGCAAACTTCTCCCTGAGCACTCTGTTCCCCAGCTCAGGCCCCTCCGCTTCTCTGAAGACACTCCCCGTGGGCACCGCTCTCCATGCGTGACCTCCCTAGAGGCCTGAGTGTCCACCCCAGCTCTCGTCCTTCCCAGGGAAAGTTCTGGCTGGGCCCCACCTCACTGGGCCTCCTCGGGTACTCTGCTACCCCTCTCTGGGCCTCAGAACTACTGTCCCTGGAGATAGACATTAATTCATAACATAAATGTTTCCCAGATGCCTGCTCCAGGCCCAGCACTGGGCAGACAGTGGGGAACGAGAGTGAAGAGGTTCCTATCTTCACGCCACAGCCTGATCAGATGGCTCCCGGGATGGGGCATCCAGCTGGAAGAACCACAGACTTAGGGCTGAGGATCTGGAGGTTGGGCCCTTCTAGAAGGGCTCAGACCACTCCCCTCTAAGCAGCCTGACCAGGGACTGACTGGAGGGACCAGGGGGACAAGGGGACATACCATGGGCACCAGGCAGAGGAGGCCTCAGCACAGGGCACTGGCCCAAGAGCTCCTCCTCTGACCTGAGGGCCAGCAGCCACCATCAGCCCAGGCTTAGGTACTGACTTTAATGCAAACAAAAAAAAAACCCTCACAGCATCTTCTGGCAGGCCAAGCTGCCGCTCCACCCGTGGCACAGGCCCATGCCAGTTTCCCAAGCTCGGGTGGCACAACCCAAGCCCCACATCCCAGCCAGAGCTGGGGAATACTGCATTCTGGCCAGAGGAGCTGAGGCCTTGCATCCCAAACAGAAGATGCAAACAACTAGGCTTCAGTGAGCCCATGTTGGCCAAGCACCTTCTGATCCTCGCCAGACTCTAGAGCCACAAGGAGCCGGAGGTCATTTGGCCTTGGGCTCTTCCAACAGCTTATACCCATGGAAACTGCAGTGCACATGAAACTGTCAGCGGATGCCCAATACGCCTGATGACATTTTCTCCCGCTTGAACACTTTGACGGCTGGTCTTGCCTTTAAGACAAAGCCAAAGCCTCACAGGGCTGGGGTCCTATGAACATGTGTCCCTGAAGACCTCGCCAGCCCACGTGGCACTATATGGTCTCCACTGCTGTGCCATAGCCCATGGCCTCCTTTGAGGCTTCCAAAGTACTGACCTTCCTGCCTCAGGGCCTTTGCATGTGCTATTCAGGCAGTCTACAGCACTCCTTTACCCCCAGCCCCCCCCCCCCCCGCCCCATCATCTAGTTAACTGATTCGAAGCACATGTCCCAGCTTAGAATGGGGCAGGGGGCAGATTATCTGACTCTGGCCTGTCGCTCTCCTCACACTCTGTACCCCACTGCACAGGGACCTTGTCTATTTTGCCCCCACTGGCTCCCCAGAGCTTGGTTCTGTGCTCAGGAAAGACCAACCATTGAAGGGAGAGATACCTAACCCCAATAAATACAAAGTCATACTGCCTAAAGTGAGCCCTCCTTGGAAGCCCCTAACAGGGCTTCCCCGGAACCTAGGGCTTTGAGGGACGATCTGAAAATGGCCCAAACCTCTTAGTTTACAAATGACGACACGGAGGCCCAGCAAAGAGCTTCGCCCAGGTTCTCACGGCTAAGAAGTGGAGGAGCCTTCCCCCAGCTTCTGAAAACAGCCGGGGACAGCTCGCAGCAGAGGTGACCAGAGGTGACCAGTTTGGGCACACCCAGTCGATGCCAACCAGTTATGACAGGCAGGGGAGGGCACAGAGGCACCGACGTGCAGAGCAGCAGTTCTCAAAACAGACCCGAGGAACCTCGGCATCCCCCAGAGCTTTTCAGGGGTCCAGTAGGACAAAATCGTTTCCATAATAACGTTAAGATGGCATTTTTTACCTTCTACACTCTCGTCCGCTCACAAGCACATGGTGGAGTTTTCCAGAAGATACAAGACATGTGATGACATCATCACTAATGACACGTTTGATTGTACATTCTTGTGTTTTAAAATGTCTCACTATTAATTTCTAACATGGTAAATACTGACAGGTAGAACTCCCATAAACACAAACTTTTTGGGGTCCTTAATAATTTGTAAGAATATAAAGGGGTCCTGAGATCAAAGAGTTTAGAACTCCAGTGTGGAGTACTGGGTGGGGGTGGGCGGTGCTTGTGCTCAGTTATATTCCAGAGCCCTGTCATCATCCCTCTGCCTACCCTCTCACTCCCACCCCCGCCCCAAGATGTCCTCATCTAACGGGGGAAGCTTGACTTGTGAGATGTCCGAAAATGCCAAGAACATCTTTCAGGATTTCTCGTCCCAGCCTGCCTTCCAGCCTAACTGGAAATGCTGCACTAAGTGTCTCATTATCTTCATCAGCTCACTTGAATCTCACAGCAACTCTAGAATGTAAGTGTGATTATCTCATCGCACGGACAGGAAACCAGTCTCAGAGAGGTTAAGTCACCTGCCCAATGTGACCCAGCTGAAAAATGCCAAAGTCACGATTTGCATCTTGGTCTATCTTACTCCAAAGCCTGAGAGTCTCCCCCTGGACCTCGTGCCAAGAACAGGACACAAAGCTGGGAGTTGAGGGCACTCAGCAACAAGCAGCTAACAGGGGTGAATGGGGGCAGAAAGAAAAAAGAAAACCACTCACGCAACTTCCAGGCTGTCTTGGTGACCACAGGGGTGGCCATCCTTCGGGCTGGCACCTGAAGCTCCACCCACAAAACAGGCTGTGCTTTCCTGGTGGGGTGGGGGTGGATCCCCCCCAGCCCCGCTAATCAAGTTGGCAGGGAGCTCTCACACATCCAGGCAGAGGGAACGCTTTGTCTCCCGGCCCCAGACCGCCTCGTGGTTTCAAATCAGTCACAGCAGCCACGGCAGCAGCCTGTGTGTGCCTGTCAGGATCCCGGCTCATAGAAGGTCAGGCCCGAGCCATCTCAGCTTGCCCCTGGGCTGGAACACAAACAGAGGGGGTGGCTTGTTAGGAAACACTTGGTGGGCGCTCAGGGGACCCTGGGTTCACAGAACTGCCACAGCAGCTCCCTGGATCACTAAAGCCACTTAATAAAGACAGACACCCACCAAGGCCACCAGAGCCAGTAGCCACACTGCAAATCGCATTTGAGAATCTGGAGACGGGGCACCTCAGGCAGGGTGACTTGGAACACAAGCAAAAGAAGGTCCTCCTAGAGGCCAGGATGAGGGGAGGAGGCTCTGTTCCAGGAGGCTGGCTGCCTAAAGCGCAGCAGCCGCAGTGGGGCGGGCCGACCACATGTCTGCAGCTCAGATAGATTTCTGGGAGTCACTGTTTTGTCTGACGTATGGGAACGGGGCGGAGTCAGAGGCTAAGCTTAGGGGCCCTGAGAGGCATCCCAGAGTTAGGCATTGATGTCTTCTCTGGGGGGAATCTCGAAGAGGGTCCTGAGAGTCCAACCCCCCAGTTTGTGGCAAGGGATCTACTCCTGGTCCCTGGCATTCCCAAGGACAGTGCCGGGTGGGCGTGAGTCGGGATGACTCCTCAACTCTAAAAGGCCACCTCGCGGAGCCTCCTACCCACTTCCTCCAAGCCTCTTTCCCATGAACCCTCTCCTCTCCGTCCCCTTTCTCGTGGGTCCCCCCGTTCTGTCTCTGTAGTCCTCCGTTCACCGCCCCTTCTCCTGCCGCCTGTGGCCCCCATTCGTGCACATCCTGTCTCCTCACTTGGCCCCTGCCTCGCCAGACCCCCTTTATTCCCTTTTCCCCCCTGCTATCGGTATCCCCCATTCATTCACTCTCCTGCTTCTCGAGTCTCTATTCATCACCCATCCTCCTGCAGACCCCCGGCTCCGCTTCCGGCCTCGTTGTTTTCCCCTCCGGCCTCCACGCCGGTCTCGCCCTCCCGAGGCTGGGGCTGGTCCCTCGGCCTCGCCCGATCCTCCCACTCCTCTCGGCTTGCGGAGCGCCGGCTCCAGCCTGCCCCCGCCTGGAGCCCTCTCCCCGCACCCGGCCGGCCCCGCCCCGCCAGGCCCGGCCAAGTCCAGGGCCCATCGTCCCCTCGCCGCCTCGCCCCCTAGCCCACTCCACCTGCAGCTGCGGCTCCGGAGGCCGAGGCTCCGCTCCAGGCGCGACCCCCACTTGCCTCCATCCCCTGCCCTGATTGGCCGCTGCTTGACAACCGACCCTCACAACAAAACCTCCGGCCCGGAGCCCCGCCCTCCTCACCGCCGGCACCAATCAGCCGCCGCGAGCGCTCCGCCTCCTGCCAGGATTGACCAATCGAAGCAGGCCCTTCTGCCGCTTTTCCTAAGTACCCGCCCCCTTTACCTGAATTGGACTAATCGCGAGGAAGGAGCGTTCAAGAGCCGCCCCTCGCCTCCAGTGAACCAATGCGGGCCGCCGTCTCCTCGGTCCCGCCTCCGCCTCAAGCTTTCCCTTTCCTCCACCTTTCCTTCTAGCTCTCCAACCTAGTTTGCGTTTAAATAATTTGCGAGACGCCCCCAATGGCGGCTGCGCCAATCGCTTTAGCAACCGTCCCGACTCGACCAATCAGCGTCAGCGTTATTGGAAAACCAATTTCCAGCTGGCCAATGGGAAGGGGCCGTCGGGAGCGGCGTGAAGCAGCGCGCAGTCATCTTGGAGTGGGGCGAAACGGGGACCGGGCTTAGTCAGCGCTTTGCCGTCGTTCCTGCTTCTTGCCCTTGCCCGGGAGCCGTGCGGCCGTGGTCTGAGGACTTTGTCCCTCCTCTTTGGCACGAACGCTGGCCTGGATCCCTCGGGGGATGCCTGGAGGCGCTCGAGCCTGATGGGGGTCCGAGTCAGCCGTGGAGCCCAGGAGAGCTGCCCGGCGGCCGCGGCCTCGGTGATGGATGAGTGGGCTGCTCCCTTATGGGGACCGCCGACTAGGAATCCCAGAAATCCTGCTTGTCCTGTGACTCGTTGCGGGGTGAGCTTAGGGAGGGCCGTGACCGGCCAGGAGTTGGAGCCGCTTGGGAGAGACTGGTACCCACAGAAGCCGCTCCTCGGGCCAGGCCCTGGCGGCCGAGAGGGTGGTCAGCCTTCCCAGGGCCCGATGCCCAAAGACCCTCGAACCCCTCCAGCCACTCGTTGCAGCCCAGGGCTGCTCCATCTCACGTAATCTCATCATAACCCTAAGGGGTAGGAATTCCTTCTCCCGTTTACAGATGAGGAAACTGAGGCCCAGGTTAAGGTGCTTGTAAGAAACCACACGGTAATGGGGCAAGGATCTGACCCCTTGTCTTTAAAGCAAAGCCTGCGGATTGCTCCCCGTACTGCTCCCTCTGAGGGACAGAGGCTGAGGGTCTGCCCCTCACACTGTGCTTTGGGGAAGCGTATCAAAAGAGGACTAGATGAGCAGAGTAAAATCTGATCAAAACTGCCCTCCTTATATTTCACCTCAACTTTTTATTGTGAAAAACTTCATGGAGAAAACTTGAAAGAATACCATAAGGGTGTAGCTGAATAATATAGTGACCCATACACTTGGCATGTCGATTTCAACTCTTGCATCATCTTGTCGTATTTGCTGTGTCCAATGTGTATATTTCTTCTGAACCATTTGAAAGTTGTAGACATTGTGAGATTTCACCCCAAGACTAAATACTGAGCCTGTAGCTCTTAAAAATAAGGCCCTTAACCTTCATAACCATTGAATCACTACACCTAAAAAAACTAATAATTCTCAAACATCAAATCCATATTCAGATTTCTCCAGTCATCCCCGAAATATCTTTAATAATTTTTTTTCCTAACTAAGGAGCAATCAAGATTCAGTACATTCGGCTCTTTTATGCTCATTCTATTTCAGTAACTTTTTAATGACGTTAATATTTTGAAGAGGTCAGGCTGTTTACTTTTTAGGCTGGCCCCATATCCCACATTTGATTTTGTCTTGACTGTCTCCTGGTATCATTTACCTTGTTCCATTTCCCCTGAATTTCTTAAGTGGAAGTTAAAGCTTGATTCGATTCATGACCAGCTTTTAAAACACTTCATACTGAAGCATAGTACTATAGGGGAGGAGGACATTTCCTCTCCCCAAAAGTGGGTTCGTCTGGCCGGAGAGCAAATTAAATTCACATGAGACAGAATAGCAAGAGAAAATTAAACAAAGTTTTATGAGGAACCATGGCCTGGGGCCTTTCTTCCCGAAGGAAGGAAGAAAGGGCATCGAAGAAGTGGGGTGCACAGAGTGGTTATATACCCCCAAACAGGGTGTTTCACATGTGATTGAAATGTCCCTCCCACAATAGTCACAAGATTGCCCTGTCGGCACAGTGCTTGATGGACACAGCAGGTAATGGTCTGCTATCTCGGTGGGCATAGCAGGAGGCAAGTCGATTGTCTGGAGCTGGGCGGTCACAGGTGAGCGCAGCAGCAATCAGTTCCTAGCCTAAGGAAAGATGTTTAATCCTTAAAGAAATGCCAACGTTGGGAGGGGGAGGGAAGTCAGTTACAGGAGGTTACCAGAGAAGCACAATAAAATGCAGATTTAAGTCCTTGCCTTTGGTATTGATTAAGAGTTTTTAGAGAGAAGGTCATCTCCTTTCTTCTTCCTGGTACAGAGAGGGAGGCACCTTTACAGATAGAGATTTACCTTACAAATGTAAATGTGTCCTAACAAAGGGCAAGTTCCATTCCTCAGAGCCTCCTTCCCTGTCCCAGTTTATCAAAAGCGATCAGCCTCAAATAATCCTGATGCCAAAGAGACATATCTTGGGGTGGCCAATTCCAGGTCCGCACAGTACAGATACCCCAAAGGACATATAGTGTGAGTGTACGAGATTGATTCATTTCACAAACTGAACATAGTTAGGTCAAGAAGAACATCACCAGCACCGCAGAAGCCCCCCTGGTGCTCTGTCCCATTTAACCCTCACAGCCCAAGAGTGACCACCATCCTGATTTCTACTACCAGTGATTCATTTTGCCTGTTTTTGTTCTTTATATAAATGGAATCATACAGAATGTACTTTTTTGTATCTGGAATCTTTTGATATTATATTTGAGAAATCCAACATGGCATCCATGTGGTTGTACTTCGTGCATTTCCACCGAGCCTGAGCAGGGTTTCTCAAGGTCAGTGTTATTGACATTTTAGGCCAGATGATTCTCTGTTGTGGGATCTGTCCTGAGCATTGCTGGATGGTTAGCAGCATCCCTGGCCTCTATACAGGAGATGCCACTGGCACACTCCAATCAACAATGTCTCTACCACATATGTATCCATTCCACTCTGGATGGACGTTTTGGTCATTTCCAGTTTGGTGCTGCTATGAACATTCTAGTGCATGCCTTTTGGTGGAGAGAGAGATATATGCATGCCTGTAGAGTTGTTCTTCATTATTCTTGTTCGTTGGATGGATAGATGAATGGAAGGATGTGATGGTGGGTGGATGGGTGGATGGAGTGCAACCTAAGAGTAGAATTGTTGGGACATGGTTTTTTAGTAGCCAGTTTTCCAGAGTGGTTGTACTGACCTCTGCTTCCACCGGGGAAGCCATCTGTGAGAGCTCCTGTTGCTTCTCATCCTCACCGACACTGACTCATTTTATCCATACTAGTGGGTGCGTGGTGGTGTTTCATTTCCCTGATGACTGACGAGTTTGACATTTTCGTGTGTTTATTGGCCATTTTTTAAACTAATATTTCGTGAGTGCTTTGTCCATGCCCCTCCCACTCCTCCCTGCTTTGCAAGTCTTCCCTCATTTCATACAGCGACGCCATCCCATTTCACAGGTGGCTAAATAGTGGCTGGCGAGCAGAGGAGCTGCGATGCAGTCCCTTGCAGTCTAATGTCAAGCCTCCGAATTCTGGGCACACGCCTTGGCCTTGCCATTCCCACTTGGTGAGCTGGGTCCCTCTCGCCATGCTGAGCTCTAACCAGGGGTTTGAAGGTGGCTGTGAGACCTGCAGACGTGCTGCAGAGCCTCAGCATTCCACAGGAAGAAGGACAGGAAGCAAGTGAGGAAGGGGGCCAAGGTGTGGCGGCAGGGGCGGTCCCAGGCTATAGATTAAGAAGGGGAGGAGAAAAAGGCTAGTGCTGGAGCGTGTGAAACATGAGGTACAAATGGCAAATTAAAAGTGTGTTTATTTACAGGAAATCGTGAGAAGCAGGAACAGACAGGGCTGCAGGGAGGTGGCGTGGCAGGGAGCCTGATCCTCGGTCCACAGTCATCAGCTGGGTGCAGGGAGCGTAGGGCCGGGCTCCGGGGGAGGTTTCTTTGTCTGTCAGCTTTGGCTGAGGCTCCAGGAGGGCCTCAAGCAAACACTTTCAGGAGCTCCACCAGCCGCGGGTCCTTGTAGAGCTTCTCCTCCAGAGCCAAGTACTTCAGTGGCGCCAACTCCTTGTGTCTGAAATCAGAGGGATGAGCGAGAGGCGGTGAGGGACTACAAAGCTGCTCCTGCAGCCTCCTAGTGGGTCCCTCCCCACCTCATCCTCACCGATTGAGCCGCTGCTCCAGGATGCGGATGCGGAACATGGCTTGAGAGCAGTAACTCAGGTAGAAGTCTTCATCCTCAGTCGTCAAGGTCACCTGGTTCTCCTGGTACCACTGCTGCTTCTTCTGTAGTTCCTGGGTCTCCTTCGGGCACGGGGAGGAGAGAGCAGGCGGGTGATGAGGGCTGAGCCTCACCTAGGCTGCAGGCTGAAATCCTACTGGTCGCCAGACAGTCCCATGAGGGTTGGCCCAACTACCCCCACCCACAGAAGCCAGAGACAGGGGCCACAAAATGTCTTGGGAGGGAGCAACGGGGGTCACGTTTAGAGGGACACCATGTCCATGAGGTCAGAGTAGGAGTCAAGCCTGAGACAGCCATGTGGCTCTGGACAAGGTATATTTTCAGAGCTTCCAATTTCTTTTCTGCAAAATGAGGGTCATTATACACCCCCCCACACACACACAACCACCACCACTCTTTGTAGAGCTCTTTGTGAAGATTAAATGAGAAAATGCATGGGAACTACATGGTGTATACCTGACCAACAGAAATGGGTCAAGGACTAGGAGTTGTTATAATGCACCATTTATCCATCCATCCATCTACCCATCCACCCATCCCTCCACCCACCCATCCATCCACCCCTCCACCTACCTATCCATCCATTCTTCCTCCCACCCATCCATCCATGCATCCACCCATCCATCCATCCATCCACTCATCCTTTCATCCACCCATCCCTCTACCCACCCACCCATTCATCCACCCATCTCTCCACCCACCCATCCATCCACCCATCTATCCATCCATCCATCCTTCCTCCCACCCATCCATCCATCCACCTACCCACCCATCCATCCATCCATCCATCCATCCTTCCACCCACATTATTCCACCCAATGGATAAGAGTGAGGAATGACAAGTTGGTCATTTGGAAACTCCAAGCACTGACATACTCATCCCCTCAGCAGTCCCTCACAAGTCTGTGAGATGGTGGGCAGACAACCCTGGGTCTGTTTTCTGGATGAGGATGCCAAGGTCCCCTCCCCTTCCCGGGCCCTGGCCACACCTTCTCAAAACGGGCCTGGATGAGGTTAGCTTTGTCGATGAGCCTCTGCTTGAAGTCACTGAGACACTCATCCTTGAGGCGCACGGCCTGCCATCGTGTCAGCTTCTCTCCTGGCGGGAGCTGTGCCAGGAACGGGGCCAGGTAATCCAGCTGGGCCTCCACCTGCCGCAAGTGTTCCTCGTGCATCACGCGCTCCTGTGGAGGTGGTGGGGGAGGGGAGAGGGTCAGCTAGACCAGGAGGGGCTGCAGAGACCTCTTGGCCAGCCCTCCATCAACATGGAACTGAATAAAACCTGGCCTCAAATCCAGGTCCCAGTGCTTGGTGCCTCTGGGACTGAGGCCTTAGACAGGGCCTGCGTGCTGTCTCTTGTAGCCATGGTTATTGGTAACAGCCAACTCCTGTGTCACATAAATTCATGTCTCTACCTGAGCCTCAGCACTTACCTAACACTCAGTGGACGCTCGCTCAATCAGTGGTAATAAATGGTGGCTATGAACGATGTTAAATCAAAAACTGGGTACTCCCTTTCCTCTTTCACCTTGGGGCCTTGTGTCCCGTGCTGGCAGACAGGGGCCAGTGAAGCTGGAGACGCAAGGCTGACGCCCATCCCTGGGAGTCTAAGAGCCAGTTCTCTGATGCCCGGCCCTGCTTCCCCAAACTCAGACTATTTTTAGAAATCCCCACTTGGTTAGTGAAGGGGATTCAGAATCTGGTCTTGAACACCAAGCTGGGTCTTGGCAACCTGAGGGTGTAACCTGTATGCCCTGTGCTGCAGGGGCTGGAGAGCCCAGGCCTGGGGCGAGAGTCCTCTTGCTGGGGCTGCCAGCCCAGGTCATGACCTTGAGGGGAGCGCCCGGTGGAGGGGGTGCACAATTTTCATTATTCCCCATGCTTAGAGGCCTCGGCTTGGCCACAACCCCTGGAGGTGGGCGGAGATCATGAGTGCTCTTTAGGGGTGAACCACAGAAATGGTCAGCTCAGCAGCAATGATGACTGCAGTGGTGTCAATAACTTCACCCCTGTAAAGGGCTTCCAGGCAGAATCCCTAATCATCCTCAGCACCCTGGAGGCGGGGGACTGGGGTGGGTGCAGGAAAAGCCAGGGCCTGGGCCAAAGCAAGGCTGACCATGGCCTCCCGGTACTCCTTGCTCTTCTCGTTGCGCTTGGTGTCATAGATGGAGATGGTCAGGGTGTGCGCCTCCTCCTCTTCCTCTCGGAGCTTCAGGATCTCCAGCACCTGAATTGCGAAGCGGGAGAGGGCACGGTTAAGGCACTCTGTACCCCCGCCACCCCCCACCTGCCTGCTCTCTCGTGGGACCCTACCTCCAGCTCCGACTCCCAGGCCTGATGTCTGGACAGCTTCTCCTCGTTTTTCAGCTGCATCATGGCCTCGTACTGGTAGAGAAGCTTCTTGGTGTGCTCCATGGGCTCCACCTGGGACAACAAGAACCACAGTGACACAGAGACGCAGCAATGGCTGGGGTCGTGGGCAGACTCTGGAACCAGCCCACTTGGGTTCAGATCTTCCCCTGCCATTTTCCTAGCTGCGTGACCTCAAGCAAATTGCTTAACCTCTCTGGGCCTCAGTTTCCTCATCTATAAAAACAGAAATAATAATAGAAGAGGAACTGGAGACTCAGAGAGGCTAAGGAATGTGCCGGAGAGTGAGGGTTTGCACTAGGAAAGCCAGCCTCGTGAGAGTGGTGGAATCTTCTGCTACTCCAGTGTTGGAACCGGGATCGGGCGTCTGCTCTGCCCAGGGCTGGGGGGTAGGGTCCAAGAGGAGCAGCCCTAGCCTGCCCAGTTGTCTTTCTTGGTGGAAAAGGGAAAGGTTTTCAAAGGAGCTTTGAAGAAAATGTCTCCAGATGGGAGCTCTTGATCTTGGCAAGGGCCAAGATGACTTCCGGGGCTGGGATCCAGGTGTTTCCACCCCAGGCCTCCCAAGCGGCTGGGATGGGACAGAGGCCCCAGTGCCGCCCCCCCCCCCCCCCCACCGCCCCCCCAGCCGTGGCCCCAGGCCCACCTCGAAGCTGACGCACATGTCGGCCGTCATGATGATCTTGTTGCCCTTGCTGTCCACCTCGGTACGCCGCAGGAACTCGCGCTTGGAGGCCGTGATGTGGTCCTCGCGGCAGTGGTAGCGCAGCTGGATGCGCTCGTCCAAGATCAGGAAAACGCGCTCCGCCACGTCCTCATCCGCAGGCTTCGCTGGGTTGCGGGAGAACTGCTCTGTGATTTTCTGGGAGGCCAGAACAGGCACAGGATGGGAAGTGGGAAAGGGGGGGTTCCCTGTGCTCCCCGAGGGCAGGAGCAGAGGACACGCAGGGACAGTGGGGTCTGGGGTCATTTAGGGGTTCACGTCGAGTAACCCTTCCTGGCCAAGTAATGGCTCTTGTGGCCTCACAGGTTCTCAGTGCCAGGCCCCTCTAGCCCCATATGGTGCTGGACCCCTTCTCTAGCTCCCTCCACAAGACACTGCTTGCCTACCTCCAGAGATGGGGGGCTCACCACCTCTCCAGGCAGCCTGCTCTATCAGTAGACATCCCTTACTGCTAGAAAGAGCTGCTATGGTAGACAGCCATTAAACACTGTTGCCAAATAATTTGTAATGATGTGGAGGGGAAAAAATGCACAATTTAATGTTGAGTGGGTGATACAGGGGTTCTACACACAGACACACACACCCCACCTTGAAAAGACTCTCAAAACAAAACCTATTAATACACGGTAATATCTGAGAGATACCATTCTGAGATATTTTTACTTTCTCTTTATATCTTTCCACATTTGCTAAATGTTTAGTCATGAGTGTGTATTTTTCATAATAGTACGGGAATGATACCTCCTTGGTCCGGTGGCCAAGGGCACAGTCTGGCATCAGATGGCCCTGGGATGTGCACTTGGTAAATGCTCCTAGCTCTCAGCTAGGGCTGGGGAAAGGCTGCTCGGGAAAGACCCTGCTCCAGAGTCAGGGCTTTAGCCATCCTGGGGTAACCTCAGCCCACCAGAGAGGGCGGGCACTCTGTCCCCGGGCCCAGCAAGCTCTTACCACCACGGGCCGGGGGTTTGACTCTGCACTGTTCAGAACCAGCTTCTTGACGCGGGGCCCGAAATTGATGTGGCGGTAGGACAGGAAGTCCGAGCGTCCTTGGTAGTACTCTGTCATGGTCTTGGGCGTCTCTTCCCGCTTTATCAGGCCGTCCACACGGGCCGTTTCGTAAAACTCCATGACACGGTCCATCCCGGGTTGCATGGTCTTGTATGAGTGCACTGCGGTGGGAGACGGGGACCGGGAGACAGCTGAGTGAGCACCAGGAGCTCTGACCGCCGAAGGATAAGCTGAGCCCGGGCCCCAAGGAGAAGGCATGTCCACGAATGCTCATGGATGAGCACTGGATGTAACCAATCTCTTACTGCTGGATGTTTTGGCTTGTTCTGACTTTTCTTGTTATAAACACACCATCATGAATACCTGCACTGTGCATTTTTTGTTCTAGCTTGTTAATTGTGCAGGACAATTCTCGGCAGTAGAATTGCTGGTCAAAAGGTATACACATTTTAAGGCTGTTATTGATATATTTTGCCTAACTCTCCCCTAGAAAAGCTGTGCCAATTTGCTTTCCTACCAGCAATGACAGGGAGTGACTGACGGCTGCTTTGCACACTTGTTCACACTCGATAGGACCATTTTTTCCATCTTTGCCAACATGAGGGGTAAGAAGGTCCCTTAGTGATTTAGTTTCATTTTTTAAAAATTTAAACCACCAAATGAGGTTGATCTTTTTAAAAAATGTGTGTTGACCCTACGTTTTTCTTTTGTGAACTCCTGGGTAGGGGTGTTCATTCTCTCCCCAGAGAGGGCCTTCTCTCCCTTCCCAGCCTCCTGGGCTCATGGCCGTGTCCACACCCTCTGCCCTCTGCCCTCTGCATCGCCCTTGCTGGGGCATTTGTTGATTTTATTGCTCAGCATCCTGACCCCCTGTAAATGTGGCCCCCACCGTGTGCCCGATCCCAACCACAGAATGGGCATGTGGCCCTGGCTGTGCCTTTCCTGGAGGAACATTGTCACGTTTCCGTGGCTCTTCTGTGCCTCCCCTGACCTCCCACACAGCTGGTCTGCTTAGGGAAGCAGGGTGGTTTCTGTTGCTGGCCACCCAAGAACCCTGTCAATACACAGATGCTGGTTCCTCCCACCACATGCCAGTCACCACGGAGAAGGCTGCCATAAGAAGCACGTAAGGCCCCACCTGGGGCTCCTCACTGGCCCACAGTGGGGTCCACATACCACGTAGAGCCTGGGGGTGGCCCGGCTTGAAGTAGTCGATATTCAGGCCTGTGACCTTGTTTATCTGCTTCCGCTCCAGCATGTCCTCCCGGTTCTGGTACCACTCCTTTATCTCCAAAGTCTTGGTGCCTGAGGGCCCAACCAGTGCTCACTGCAGCCAGGCCAGCTGCCCAGCCTCTGTCCCACCGTTCCCAGAGCACAGAGGCCAGCAGGGCCCACACTCACACCGAGAGGGTGGCAGTGACGTGCCCAAGGCCACACAGCAAGTCGGGGGACCCAGCCCTCCCGCTCCCCCGCCCGGGCCGTGGCCCTTACACTCTGCGTCCTCGTAGGTGGTGAGGCGGCACACGAGGCCATTGCTGTTGAGGTACGGGGCCCACTTCTCCAGCTTCGCCCTCTTGTACTGTATCACCTTCTTCCCATTTGGGCAGCGAGTCTCAAATGCTGCGGACACAGAGCGGGCTGGGATCCCTTCTCCCCAGATAGGGGGGAAGAGAGGGCCGACCCCTCCCAGCCACTCCTCCAGCCACTGTCCCTTGCACCGTCTGCTAAGCTGCCCCTGGCCCCAGGTCTCCTCCAGGGAGGCAGAGGAAAACAGTCCCCAGGGGCGGCTCCGCCCAGGTCTCTGGTTGGAGCTGACCACAGGATCTGCGCCCTGCCGCACCACACTGCCTCGCCACCGGGCTGTCGCCTGTGCAGGTGTCTCTGCTGAAACACCGTCCCCTCCTGCCCTTCTGGGCTGACTCCTCCTGATCCCTCAAAACTTAGCTCAAATGACTCCTCTTCCTAGGAGCCCCTTCTGCTCACTCACCCTCCAGGCCCCATCCTCAGGGCTGGGCTGGGCGCTTCTCCTCTGGAGTCCCTTGATACCCTCTCTAGCCCTTCTCACCCTGTCAGAACGGCCTATGCCCTCCCCATGGGTCTAGGCGCTGCCAGCCGGCCAGCTCAGCAGCCAGCAGATGTTGGCATGGGGCACGAGCGTCCCTGTCCGCCTGCTTCCTCTGCCTGCCTGTGCCCCGTCCTGACGTCCCCTCCCTGTGCCCTGTGGGTACTGTGCACGGCCTCCTCCTGGCAGGGTGGGGTGAGGGAGGGGAACAGCTGGTCTTCGGTCCTCCATCACCTCCCACACTTCGTCATCCGGCGTGTGCTAACTGAGCGCCCTCCTGTACGCCAGAATGATGTCAGGCCCTTGGCCGCAGAGCTGAGTGTGCGTGGCGGGAAAGAAGGAGGAGCGTGCAGCAGGAAGCGGGAGGGGTGGAAACGAGGGGCCTCGGCAGCCTCTGCTGGCCTCCCCCTGCCTGGCAGGTGCCGCAGACCCCTCCAGGGGCCCGGGAACCCATCCTGGGGGTGAATGCAAGCACGCACACACCTTCCGGGGAGATGTCAATCTGCTCCACCCACGAGCTGGGCATGTCGAAGCTCTTGTCTTTGTCGTCCTTGCACTGTTGGGAGAGGCGGGGCGGGGGTCCCGGTCAGGGCTGGGTCTCGGAGCAGCGGTTATGGGCAGAGCCTCCGACTCGCCCCCCAGGGCCAAGCCAGGGTGGGTGGGCAGCTCCTCCAAAGGAGGCAGAGGTCACGGGCAGTTCTGACCTGGCATGACCCCGCACACGGAGGAAGAGGAGGAGGCAGCTGCTGGCCAGGAGCCCTTCCCTGCTCCCACCTGGCTGGGGCTGCAGCACCCCTGTGCCACACGCCCCACCTTCCCTTGGTCAGCGGAGGCACCAGGCACAACCCTCTGTTAAGAGAGGGGCTTCTGGAGTCAGGTGGACCCAAGCCCCAGCCATCCAGCACCAGCTCTGGGGTCCTGGGCAAGCCCCTTAACTGCCCTGAGCCTCAGTTTCCTAACTGTAAACTGGACCCCGCGGGAGGCTTAACAGACAGAATGTACGTAAAGGGCTTGGGACACTGCCTGGCTGCCCTCACTGTTTGTTCTCTTCGAGCCTTAGTTTCCCCATCTGTAAAATAAAGCCTGTCTAGACAAACGGTCCCCAAACTAGGTAACTGCAGAAACTTGGACCAGATTTTCCTCTTTAAAACTTTTCTTGCATAAACATTGCTCAGATCTCTGACGCTGCTCATCGGATCGGCCCCCGCCCCGTGGGTCCCGGACTGAGTGCACAGGGAGGCCCCGGTCCCCAGAGACGCGGCCGCTGAGAACGCTCAATACCAGCTCCGGGCCTGTCCACACTGCTAAGCCAACCACGTGACAGCTGCGGCCTCATTTTGTCCCCAAGCCATCCCTGGAGGTAGAACAGAGTCACCACTGGCAGACCAGACTTGGGAGGCAGACTGTCAGGCCCCAGGTTCAACTCCCAGCTCTGCCGCTTACTGGCTGTGCACCTCTGGGTGGGGCAGCTCACCCCCCGTGTGTAAGTCTTCCTGTCTGTGAAGTGGGCTGACAATAATCCTGGACAACACACTCACGCCTCCCTCACCGGTGGATGTGAAGATTTAGAGGCGTTAATCCAGTTAGCACCTCCTGGCACTTAGTGAGGGCCATGGGAGTGCTGCCTACTGTTAGGGGCTGCACTGTGTCCCCCCACATTCATATGTCCAAACCCCCAGTTCCTCAGAAAGTGTCTATATTTGGAGATAGGCTCTTTAAGGAAGTAATTAACTTAAAATGAGGTCATGGGGGGGTCCTACTCCAACACGACGGGAGTCCTTGTGAGACGACGTCAGGACACAGCCACGTGCAGAGGGAGGACACAGGGAGGGGACGGCCATCTACAGGCCAAGGCGCAAAACCAGCCCTGCCGACACCTTGTCCTTAAGTGTCCAGGCTCCGGAACCTGAGAAAAGGAATTTCTGTTGCTTAAGCCACCTGGTCTGTGGGACTTTGTTGCGGCAACTCCAGCAAACGAACACGCCTGTGATTACCGTGAGCAGAACAGACCCGCTCCCCCAGGTAACGTGCGGACGCTTAAACTGAAGCTTCCAACCACTGGAAAGTTTACCCAAGATGCCGACGCCCATAGCTGAGGCCTCTGGGCCCCTCCATGCACAGGGCCTCCCGCAGCCACGCCTGGAAGGCCCCGGACTGGAGATAAGAGAAGGGATGCTGACATCTGGGGAAGGCCCCGGGCCGATGACCTTGAGAAGGGCTGATAGGATGGAGAAGAAAGGCCTGGACATACATGGGGGGATCACGGTGGCTGTGCAGGAAGGCCTGGACATGAGGCAGGGCTGGCCCTTACAACCCCAGAGGAGCAGGGTAGCCCCTGAACAGGGTGGAGTCGGGGGGCGGGGTGTGTGGGGCAGGAGAGCTGAATGCAAGTCCCAGTCCTCCCCTAACCCACTGGGGCAGGGGTCCTGGGTGGGGCTCTGGACCTGTCTGGGCCTCAGTTTGCCCATCTGTAAAATGAGGGCAGGGCCCAGGCCCTTCTGCTTTGAGGAATCTACAATTGGGCTATCTGGACTGTCCCCCCCATACACATCCATGTGGTGGGGACATTTGTCTGGCTGGCCCGAAGCCAGACAGGGTGTGAAGCCCCTCCCACCTACCATGTGCCGCTGAGTCTCACCAGATTGTCCAGGTCCTCGTCATCGTTCATCCCAGTGTCCTCTTCCTCAGTCGTGGACAGGTGAGGCTTGTCGGTCCCCAAGAGCAGGTACTCCCATCTCACAGGGTCTCCCAGGTCAAAGACCAGGTCCTGATGGGGGGGGAGTCAGGTGAGCATGCCCCACCACCACACCCCTCCTGCTCCACGGGGTGGCAGGAGACAGCTGTGCCCGAGTAGAGAGGGGGCCTGGGCCCGGGTCGCAGATGGACAGAGTGTCTGCTCCAGGCAGCCTCTGAGCGCCCCCACCCTCCCCATTTCAGCAGGGAAACTGAGGCCCCGAGGCCCCACTGCCCAATCTCCCTATGAAGAAATCGCATCGGTGGTCTCGTGAGAGACTCAGAAACTCCCTGGCCTGGGATGGGCCTGGACGTGGGGTCGTTGTGTACTGTCAGGGGGCGCCCCAGGCATGTTTAGAGCAAACGCAGGCCAGTGAGATCTCATGGGAGGCAGAAGTGGCAGCTTGGAAAAAAGGCCTCTTCACAGTTCTTACCCACGCCGGGGAAGCCCCACAGGCACGCGTGGAGCTGCCCGGAGGAGGCAGGTGGCAACTTCTCCTGGCAGGGGTCTCCACCCTCTTTTCACCCTAGCCCACCTGAGCCCAGGCTCACCTGCCAGACAGCTCCCAGCATGCAGGGAGCACCCCGCACCCCAATCTGCCTCCCCAGGGTGGGGCGCCCCTCACCCCAATGCCCCCTGAGTCAGTTCCAGTGGGAGATCAAGGGCTTATGAACAGCTGCCCCCAAGCGTTTAATAGGAAGTTGTCCTGAAGTCGCCCTAATCCTGGTCCTCGCTGTGGCATCTGAGTCCACGAGGCAGAGGGTTACTCTGTCTGCTGGGAGGTGGGCGAGGGAGGAGGGGGACGTGGGGGAGGACAAGGAGGGACAGAACTGCTCTGGGTCTAACAATGACAGGCAATAGTCAAGGCTCCGTGGGAGGAGCCGGCTGGCACAGGTGTTTGTATTTCTTTGAATCAGGTCCTCCACTCCAACCTCGTGAGTGGTAAGCAGTAGTTAGACGTTATGCTTTGCTGTTTAATGTTCTATTTCTATTTTCTAAAAACATAAATGAGTGGACGACTCCCACGTCCCGTGAGCCTGGGCGTGTGTGCACCAGGTCTCTGTGCAGGTGCATTGCGTCGCTCCCCGCTCCCAAGGCCATTTCAAGGTTCTTTGAAGGAACAAAGCAGCTGCGGCCGTGCTCATTTTGCAGTAAAAGCGGCAGCCAGTGTCGTGATCGCTTTCTTGGTACCCTCGCTTGGTGATGCAGTACTGCCCCTCTGGCCTCACTTTCCCACCAGGCTGCCCTTCCAGCTCCGTCTCACAGCTTCTGTTCTGCGCATCATGAATTTCCTCCGCCTGGCACTGGTCAGAGCGTGCGGGGAGGGAGGCTGAAGGACTCTCAGCCTAGAAAAGGGACGAAGGGGGACTGGAGGGGCCTCTGAAGGGCCACTGGCCTTGAGAGGGCACTGGCCACCGTGGCCGTTATGAGCCTGCGCTCTGGGGGAGGGTGGTCTTGCCTGTGCCCCATCCGTGCCCCATCCAGGACAAGTCCTTTTTGCGAAATGAGAGCGATGATTTATTGAACAGCCAGGGACTATTCCAAGGACCGACTGAATGTTATTTCCTACAACCTGTGGGGCCGGCGAGGGCAGAGCAAGCCTGGCGTGCGTGGCTGAGGGAGGCCAGGGGAGTGGGTGCGTCTCCTTCACCGAAGGCAGACTTCCTCCCCTTGGACCATCTGCCTTCGCCGCGGACACAGTGACTTGCACTGGAGAGCACGCGCGTTAACTCTGACGTCTCCCACAGCGATGGCAGCGTCCTTGGACGGGGTCACATTGGAATAGGGGCCAAAGGCCCAGGATCTGCCTTTGGGAGGCTGGCCTGGTTGGAAATGGAGGAGCTTGGAAACAACAAAGAAGCCCAGGACTTGGAGCCTGGAGCCTGGAGCCTGTCTCTCTTTTGACTTTTGCACAGCTCAACGAATTTCCACAAACTGGACGCACCCTGGTTCCTTGCACCCAGATCAAGAGAGGGAACATTGCCCGCACCCCAGAAAGTCCCCTTGTGTCCAGTGATGACCTTCCCCTGCATACGTGCACATATTTTTAACCTATGTAAATGGTACTGAGTTTTGTGTATATACATGTAAATTTATGGAAATTCATTGAGCTGTATACTTAGGATGGGTGCACTTTTCTGCGTGTGTGTTACACTCCAACACAATGCTTAAAAAAATCCTTCATACAAACTAGCAATCCACATTTTACAAGGCTATACAAATCAAAAGAGAGACAATAATCATATGAGAATGGTTGTTTAAGGGCAAAGGAGTGGGCTGTGGGGCCTCAGCTGTGGGGCCAGCTCTCCCCGCAGATCTGGCCAGCGCCTCCCCAGCCCCCGTTGTGCCTGCCGCTCCCGGCCCAGCCCGGCACCTTGCAGCAATTCCAGCAGTCCTGCATGTTGACCCAGTAGTTCTTGTGGTTCCAGAGGCTCTCAATGCCCAGGAAGTGGTCATCTTGCGGGCTGTAGCTGCGTGCCGTGAACGGGTCAATGAAGAAGGTCTCGGGTACCTCGCGCTTCCCCGACAACACTAGGACCCAGCAGTGCACCCGCAGGCCGTGCAAGGGGTCAATCTTCGCTTTCTCCGCCTCCTGCACAGGAAACGGTGGGTGACTATGGGCCAGTTGCGTGGGAAGGGGCGGGGGGCGTCAGGGGCCCAAATATCTCCCTGGAGTGGGGGAACTGGTAGGAGAGCTGAGTTCTGATCCAGACTGCACTACTGGCTGGCCCTGTGAGGACATCACCCCACCTCTGCATCTGTTTTCTTATCAATAAAATGGGAGGATCTGAGTCGATCTGTGGTTTACACACTGGGTCCTTTGGGGCTCTAGGGTATCTGGGATTTGCTGGCTTTCTGTGTTGTGATTCTGAGTGAGCTTTCATCCATACAGAGGCAACGGGACACCATACGGCTTCCTTGTCTGCCTCCCTCTAGGAGAAGGGTGATTGTGTCATGTTCATTATTGTATCCCTGGGGCCTGGACCAGAGGAGGCACCCAATAAACGCTATATGGAAGGAAAGAAGGGAGGAAGGAAAGGAGGGTGGGAGGAAGGATGGGAGTGTGGATGGATAGAAGAAGAGATGGGAGGATGGATGTTGGAAGGAGAGATGGGAAGATGGAGGGATAGAAGAGATGGGGAGATGGATGCTGAAAGGAGAGATGAAAGGATCGGTGGATGGAAGAACAGCTGGGAGGATGGATGGGAGGATGTATGTAGGTATGTCTTCAGTGCAAAAGTCTGGAATGAGGAGAACACCAGAGCTGCCCAGCATAAATGGGTTTCCCCAGCAGCAGAGCTCTCTGACGTTAGAAATCTATCACCACAAGCTGGCTGACCGTCTTCCCGTATGGCCCAGCAGAGGTGGGGGATGGTTGAGGGGTGGAGGAAGGAATGTGGACTTGGGTGTCCATAAGCACATCCCTTCCACGACCTGTGTCTGGTCCCCTGTTCCCAGCAGCCCTTCCTCGAGAGCTGAGCTCAGGGGTCGAGGGCTGAGGACGATGGACCCACCAGGAGCCGTTCCTCCTCCTCCCGCAGCCGCCTCTCCTCCTCAGCTTTGATCTGCTCCTGCTGCTTCATCTCCTGCTCCTGCTCAAACTTGCTGCTCAGGTCCCTGGGCGGTTTGATGGCGTACTTCTTAGCTGGTGCCTTTTCCTGCTGCTGGACGATCTGTCACCCAGCAAGAGAAAAAGGGTCAGTGGCCTTGAATTGCCCGCCCCTCAGACCAGGAGATCCCAGTGCTCCGGGAACCTGCGGGCTTTCTGGCCCTAAAGGCAGAGGGAGCCTTAGCCCCAGCTCCGTGACAGTGAGCAAGCCCCCCGCCCCCTTCCCTTCTCTTCTGTAGAGTGGGATCTGAACAGTAAGAACCTTCTCCAAGGCCTGTGTTGAGAAGTAAAGAAGGGACAACGCCCGCAGGAGCTGCCTGCCGGGCAGGAGACCAGGAGAGGTGATTTTCTCCTCTTCACTCCCCACTGCCCAGACTAGCTATGACCTGGATCTGATCTAGAAAGAGGGCAAAGGGTCGGGAGTCAAATTTTCCAGATTTTGTCATTGGAGGGTTTCCTACGTTGACTTTAAGTTTTCTGGGTAAGGAAGAAGAAGAAAGCCTGTGTGTGTGTGTGTGTGTACAAATATGTGCGGGGTGGCAAGAAAAATGTCCAGAAAAGAGCACCACAGAGGCTGCAGAAGTGGGCCTGTGACAGTTACAAGGGCGAAATAGCGACCCTCCGCGGTTGAGTCAGACCAACCAGGCCTCGGTGCCTGGGTCTCTGTTTTCCAGCCTTGTGACATACTCATTTATACAACAGGAGTGATGGTACCCACCACACAGCACCAGCGTGAGGAGAAGCCAAGTCAATGGACACAAAAGTGGTTTATAAACCAGAAAATTCTCTGCATCTATTAGCTACTGACGTCATTTTAATCACTAAAATTTGGGCTGAGATAAGAGGCCAGAGTGTGAGCTCACAGGCTTTTTGGAGCTGAAAGCAACGATGGAGCTTTTGTGCTTTCTTCCTTGGAGAGTTGGGCCCAAGAGAGCAAGGCTCTCACCAGGTGCCTCCCCTCCTTCTCGCCTCCCTCCACCAGAGGGCCCACCCAGGACCCCCGGGGCTTGCCCAGGTGTAAGCCAGGTGCATGCGCACCCTGCTGGAAGCCCCAGGCCCCTGCATCCCCAGCCCTGAGCTGCAGGGGCTTGACCCCAATCACAGAGTCCTCGAATCAATCCAGCTCATGAAAACCATTTTCTGCCTGTAGTATGGCTGTTTTCCAAATGCAAAGAGATGCTTTTATGACTCCTAAAATTAGATTCACTTAAAAGTGTTTCTTGTGTTCACAGCAGCCTCTGATCGTTATGGACCTTTCAATCAACAGGTATGAAAACACAGCCACCACCTGCTGGAGGCTTGGTGACATTTTCTTGCTGTTAAAAAGGGGCGTTTTACTGGGAGGGGGAAAAAAAAGAAGTAAATGTCTGTCCATTCATCTGTTTTTTCCTTATAGGAATCGGCTGGGTGGATTCTTCTCAAGTGCGTTGGGTAAATTTGGAAGAGTTTGACTTAAGATATAGGCCATGTGGCATTCACAAAATTTACTTCATGGGGAGCATGGTAGCTGAAACGGAGTTATGACAAGGGGAGACGGACAGCCCCTTTGGAGACCTGGGCTGTATGTGTTAAGATGCTGAGGACAGAGAAACCGCTAGCGGTTTGAAGCAGGAACTCCAGGGCAGCTGAGGGCTGCTTGGTGATGGAGCCGCCTGTATGTGGCCGTGATGGGGGAAGGGGCAGCAGGGACACACTGCCCTGAGGATGGCGAGTCCTGCAGGATGCTGAGGGCAGTGCGAGCCCGGCCGTACCTCCTTGGGCTTCAGGGTGAGTGGGCACACCTCCCGAGTGAGGTCCATGTGGCATATGTCCTGCGAGCCATAGCCATTTACGCAGTAGGCGTCGTAGCCAGAGCCGATGAGCATGGAGCAGAGCAGCGTGCTGAAGTCAAAGCAGTTCCCCTTCTGCTGCTCCAGCACTGTGGTCGGCGAGTAGAGGAAGGGGGGCTGGCCACAGCCGGCTGGTCAGTACAGCCCAGTTCCGCTGCCCCCGACCCGTCCTCCCCACTCGTCTGGGGCCGGGCGCTAGGGCCCACGGGCAGTCTGGGCCCCAACACGGCTCCTCCGCGTTGTCGGGTCAGGGAGGCTGCTCAGAACAGGATGAAAAGCACAGAGCCCATGTCCAGAAGGCGCCGTCCACATTTGCCTATACTCTTAAGGGGCTGTGGACTTACGGATGGGAAAGACCCTCTGGACTGTAGAAGCTTCTAGTCTAATGCTCTCTGATCCGTCATTTTATGGTTTTATTCCAAAGTTCCCCCATCCTTTCCTTCTCTTCCCTGTCTCAGATCTCCACTGCTCACCAATCCCTTTTTCCCTCCCTCCTTCCTCCATGAGAAGCAGACTGAGCTGGTCAGAAGTCCAGAGATGGGGCTGAGGGCCACGGGCAGCAGGGCCCTCCCATCTCTCTCCTTTCCCCACCTCCTGAAGTCATGAAAGGAAGCCTCTGAAGGCAGAAAGAGGCGAAGGAGGCAAAGAGGCAGGAGCCTGGATACCGGGCTTGCTGTGTGATCTCAGGCCAGTGGCCACCTCTCTCTGGGCCTCTTTCCCAACCTGTCCCAGACAGACTCATGGGCCGTGGCCTGAGCCCTGTTGAACCTCCTTCTCCCGACCTGCCTGGCTTCCCATCTCAGGCCTCATGGGCCTAGGGATGCAGCCCCGGGTGGCACTTACCGGCTTGAGGGGGTCAGGCAGGGGCACCATGGACAGGAAGTCTGAGACAAACTGGGCGCAGCTCTCCCAGTTGTAGAGCTCAGGGTAGGGCATCAGTGTGGGCCGGAGCGTTGTGCTCACGAACTTCTGCAAGAGGACAGACCACAGGCCCCTGGGAGGAGACCACCCGCTCCCAGGAAGCCTGCGAAGCCGGAGATCAGGAGTGGCTCTCCAGGCCTCTCCAGGGTCTCAGGCTCCCCCTCGCTGTTGGGAGTTGGAGGCAGCAATTCCTCAAGACCCTTCCAGCCCAGATCTAGAACAATTCCTGGGTGCCAGTGACATGTCAGGGCCTCCCTGTCACCTCCACTGCCCCACTGAGTGCCACTAGACCTGGCATCACCTCTCTGATCCCCCAGCAACCCTGTGAGGCAGGTCCCCATCACAGATGAGGACACTGAGGCTCTAAGAGGTGAGCTGACTGGCTCAGGGCCGCAGTCAGGAGCAGAGCTGGGTCCGTCTGGCTCTTGAGCACCGCCCAGTGCGGGGACCTGGGGCTTCGAGGGGCCTCGAGGGGCTGCTGTGATGCCTGGAGGCCCGGGGCCAGGCCTCCAGGGTCACCCTGTGGATTTGAGGAAGGCCCCCCCAGCACAGATCTCACGGCTCCATCTAAGAGGCAGCCCTGATGCGGCCCCCACTGATCACGGCAGGGGAAATGCAGGCCTGGGTGACCAGCACAAGAGAAGAGGGGCCTGGGGACCCGAAGGGGAGTTGTGAAGCTTCAAGCACAGGCAGCTAATACAAATGTTAAAAGCCACCATGTGGGCCAAATAAAACAGTCTGAGAGTCCCTGTCAGCCTGATGGGGAAACCGAGGCCCAGAGAGACTCAAGGATGTGCCCTGGGTCACAGGGCTGGAAGAGAGGAAGCCAGCGCTCGGGCCCTGGTCCATTTTTCCTTATTTCTCTACTCTTCCCCGCACAGGGCCGGCCTCTGGGGCTGGAGACTGCCCTGGGTTTCTGGCTGCCCCTTAGGTGGGGCGCGGGGTCTCCAGGCCCCCTCAAGCCCCCGGGGGTGATCTGCACCGAGCTTTCTGGAGCCTGCGGGCACTGGAGTTTATGCCTCCCATGGGCTATGAGCTCCAGACCGTGAGAGGTCTGGTCTTCGGCCCGTCCCCTTCCGCCCTCTGCTGTCTGCCCCAGGCCTGCCCTCCCCGTCCCGGCTCACCGGCAATCCGCACTCATTCACGGGGTGCAGGAAGAGGGGCACGCGGTCTGGGCACAGGTCACTGTACTGGCGGGAGAAGTTGTCTGCCACCTGCAGCAAGTGCTCCTCCTTGGGTGTGTTAGTTTGGTAGGAAACGGGCAGCTTGAGGATGTCGATCGTGTCCTTGGTAGAGATCCTGTGTCCACGAGGGGGGCAGCATTAGTCTGCATGAGGCTAGACCCGGCGCTCAGGGACCCCTCCATCTACCTTAGCTGCCATTGCTCTATCCCTTCCTCATTTAATCCTCACAGCTACCTTGGAGGGAAGTATCATTATTAGCTCCTGCGCTTTTAAACAGGTAAGGGAACTAAGGCACAGAGAGGTTGATTGACTTGCCTAGGGTCACACAGCTAGTGAGGGGCAAAGTGGGGACTTGGAGCAGGCAGCCCGAGACACCGGCCCTCACTCACAACTGCCTCCCTCTCTGTCCTGGTCCTGCCTCCCAGCCACTGCTTCCTCATTCTGCCTGGCTCATCCTTTGCCCACCCTGCTTTGACCTTGGCCCCCACCCCGACACTCACGAGATCTTCCCCGGGACCAGGATCTCCGACAGCTTCTTCTCCAGGTCCCTGAGCGCCTCCTGCGTCAGCGGGGCTTCCTCCCTGCGCACCTCCACCGGCCTCAGTGTCTTCTCTCCCCGCTCCGCCCGCTCGGCTGCCTCCTCCCGCTCGGCAGCCTCCTCCTCCTCCACTTTCTCCTTCAGGACCTCCATTCTGGGATGTCTCCCGCTGGCTGTCTAGAGATGGAGTCTAGAGATGTATAGAGGGATAAATGCGCTCAGGACGGCTGCCTCCAGACCAGGAAGGAGCCACCAAGAGCGCCTGCGCCCAGGCGGCGGTTTCAGTGGGTTAGACGGCGGAGGGAGAAAGCGATTCCCTCATAATTGTCCTTTCCATCAAGGAGAAAGTCCGGGCTTGGTGCTGGCCCGTCTGGAACGCCTCCCTAACATTTGCAGACTTCCCTTTAAAACAAAGACACAGCAGGCCACGGGTCGAGAGCTATTGCCAGGGCCCAAGGAGGCAGGCCGAACTTGCTAATATTGCTTTGCTTTTTCCTATATTCATTCTGACGGTCCCTTCTCATTATGGCAAGTGATGCTAATGATGTGGGATTACTGTAGTATTATGAAGTTTCCTCTTTAAATATGTTTATCAAGTCCAATAAGTGAATTGGTTTAAAGAAAATTATTTATAATAGTAAAGTGGTATGGAATATGACCAAAAATAACGTCATCAAACTTGGAATTGAGGCACAGAGTGAGCAGGGCAGGGCTGCCACCAAGGCACTTGGACAAAGGGCAGGTGTGTGTGTGGGGGGTGACACGACCTGTGCCCTCCTGGCCGAGCCCCAGGTCAGCCCGCAGGGTGATCATTTTGTGAGCCACACTGAGACGCCATATATGCCATGTGCCCTAGGGACGGCCCTGCCTGCGGCCGCAGGGCAAAGCCTTGCTGAGGTGACCACTAGTTCCTACCCAGAGATCCAGTCCTGCCTTCCGTACAGCAGAACCCCTATTTTGTTGGGGACAGCAGTGTGCCTGGTTCTAACTGTTCACCTTCCCAGCCTCCCACACGACTAGAGGTGGCCGGTGACATGAACCCAGCTCTGGCCCAGACAATGGGAGTCAAAGTTGCAGGACGTCAAAGGCCGGGGCCCAGCTGGCACAGACTCTTTGCCCTTCTCTTCCTCCTGCCTGGGACATGGGCCTAAAGCGAGAGGTGGGACGGCTGACACGTGACTGTGAGGTGACCACCCGTGAGGACCAAAGCTGCCTGCTGAGGACAGCAAGTGCAGAGACGGGGGGACTGGGGTCCCCAGCGCGCTGTGGAGGCCCTGAGTGCCACCTCCAGACCTCCTGTCACGTGAGAACACTCAGCTTCTGCTTGTTTGAGTGGCCGTTGTCGGGTTCCTGTTACATCAGCCCAGCTGATGTGCCAGCCGCCCACCTCCTGGCTCGGGTCTTCCCGTTACCACGCCTCAAATATCTATTTTCCTTACAGCAAACGGAGCAAAGTTCCAGAGAGGAGGAAAATGGACCCAATGCACAGGATGTGATGGGGGGATAGAGAGGACTGGGGAGAAAAGAGCAGGGTCTCCCCAGATTTGTCACCCCTCCCTGAGATGGAGCCAGAACTGAGAGGACAATGGGAACCAGGAGGTGCAGGCTGGGTCCCCCTCCCTGCTCTGAGCCCGACCTGGCCACTGCAGCCTCTGGCGGAGGCGAGTCACTGACCGCCAGCCCGGCCAGGGGAAAACCTGGCTCGGCTGGCAGCTCCTGCTGGCCCTCGGCCACTCCCTGCCCCTTCGGGGCCTCAGTTTCCCTTTCTGCAATGTGAAAGGAGGGAGAGATGTTTCCTGTCCGATGCTGACGTTCTGTAGGACTCAGGTGAGGATGAAGGCACCTGTTACTGGTGGTCGGCCTGCCTGAGTCCCAGGTGGTCAGCAGCCCAGCTGAGGCCTGGTGTCCAGCAGCCCCTTCAGGGCCCCAGTTCCCTACAGGCAGACCTCCCACTGTGCCCACCAGCCAAGCAGCACAGCCCCGGGATCAGATCCGTTTGTCTGACTCTCCGGCGCAGAGAGGATGCCTCCGCAGAGGGCAGTCATAACCATCACAAGGTGCTCACAGTTTCCTGAACACCCACTGTGTGCCAGGCACTCTGCTAAGGGTTACACAGAGATAATCCCATTCATCCTTCAGGACTCTGTGAGATAACAGAAAGTCTGCATTGCCTCTGCCCGCCGTTCCTGGCACAGGGCTCCTGAAACCCTTGTCATTTCCTAAGTGATAAGAACACGAGTTGCATCTCTTGTCTTGTTGAGGTGACCCTGGGGGTGCTCCTGGATGGGGCTGGTCACCAGAAAGACCCAGCCATGATTACAAGCTTGGAATTTTCAGCCCCGCAACCCTCTCCTCCAGAAAAGGGAGAAGAGCTGGAAATGGAGTTAATAATTGACCACGGCTATGTGAGGAAGCCTCCGTAAAATCCTGATAGTATGGGGTTCGGAGCGCTCCCAGGTTGGCCAGCACATCCACACCAGGAGGGCAACGCACCCCAGCTCCACGGGGACAGAAGCTCCAGCGCTCGGGACCCTCCCAGACCTCGCCCTGTGTATCTCTTCATCTGGGTCATCCGCATCCTTTAGCACATCCTTTAATAAACTGGTAAAGGCAAGTAAGTGTTTCCCTGAGTTCTCTGAGCCGCCCTAGCAAATGAATCAAACCTGAGGAGGGGCCGTGGGAACCTCCGAGTTGTAGCCGAACCAGACACAAGTTGTGGGTCGCCTGGGGACCTACCACTTGCAATTGGCATCTGTAGTGGGGTGGGAGCAGTCTTGTGGGACCGAGCCCCTAACCTGTGGGATCTCTCACTATCTCCAGATAGACAGCGTCCGAATTGAGTTCACTTGTAGGACACCCAGCCGTGATGTGCAGAATTGCATGATGGGGGAAAATCCCCACACATTTGGTGAACAGAAGTGTCAGAAGTGAAGAGTTCTGTGTGAGTAAAGGAGACACACGGGAGATGGGAGACGGAACCGAGTCTTCCCGTTACAGACCCTATGAGGTGACACTGTCATGCTACCCACTTAGCAGATGAGCAAATCGAGGCCAGAGAGGTTAAGTGCACTGCCTCAGGTCATAGAGCTGGCTAGTAGCAGCCCTGGGGTTCGAACCCCATCTGGGGCTTCTGGCTCTGAAACCCATGCACTTCAGGGCCTAACGAGACGGGGAGGTCCTAGAAGGGAGGGTAGCAGGGAGTGGCGAGTGAGGAAAGAAGAAGGATGGGGAGAAGCCAAGGTGTCAGTGGGCAGCAGGGGTTACGACGGAGCCCAGGTGCCAGGACACAGCCATCAGAGGCAGAGCTGGGCCAGAACCCGCAGCACTGTCTTCCCCACACCAGGCTGCCTCATCAGCTGCAGTGCGGGGTGGGGAGGAAGTCCTGCCTCAAAGTTCCCTGGACCCTGCCCAGGGGCCTGGAGGCCCTCCCCACGTCACAGGCCCTTCCCTGCATCCCTGTCCCCAGCAGCAAATTCTTCTTCCCCAGAACACACACGCACACACAAATACACACACACACACACACACACACTGACAACTTCCTCAGAAAGGTCAGGGCTGGAAGCCCCCTTACCACCGCCACTCTCCCATTCCCCCTCCCCCTGCCAGGCAGGGTCCAGCAACCCCCAGCGGTCCCCTGTTCCCTACTCACCCCTCTGAGGATGGCCTGTACAGTCTGTTAGCCCGTCTCCATGGTAACAGCTTTCTGAAGCTGAGGGCAGGCCCTGGGAGAAGAGGCTTCTGGGAAATGTAGTCTTCTGGGTCCAGAAGACCCTCTGCGGCAGGCCCCTAGGCCAGCAGCCTGCTAGAGCCAGCTTGTGACAGTTTGCAAGAGCTGACTGTTCAAATATCAGAAATATTTGTGAGCCACTTGACACACACAGCCATTATTACAAATTCAATTATAAAAACTGATAAGTAAATAGATATTAAAAACAAAGGTAATGAATACCCCCAAACTCATCACTTCTAATTATTTTACTACTTTTTACTATGATCTATGTTCTTGAGATTATTTATGCTTATTTCATCTGTACAGTGAAAATATTATGTAACGGTGGGCATCTCTGCATCTTGTCCCAACTTCTGTTCCGTGATGTCACGTTAGTAGTTTGAAATTGGCCGTAGGATTATTTACACCATGGAAGTGGGCAAATGCTCCAGACCGGGGCTTTTTCCTCCCGGCGAACCAGTTGTTCAGCATTTACCAGGACACCGCTGCCTCTGCCCCAAGCTCAGCCAACACGGCCTTCATCAAGACAGAGGGAAACCAGTGTGTGTCCTGGCACGGCTGCTGTCGTGCTGGACCGAGCCAGGCTGCCTGACTGAGTCCTGGGTTCTAGTCCAGCCGGGGCGTCTGATTTAGTATATAGCTTGCCGGACAGGGAAAATGTATCCATTAGGTTAGTGGCCCATGAAAAATGTTTAATTTTAGTTTCTTTGACATTCATAAGAAAGATGAATAGACTAAGAATGAATATATAATTGTGAATCCACTCTGGATTATATTCATCTTTGTCCCCATGCAATTGTAACGTATAAATTTTATGGTTTTGCTTTGGGAGGCAGGAGTCCACCAGAATCGTGGTGCAGCCCTGTGGGGGTGGGGGAGCTCAGAGAAACACTGCAGAGGTCCTGACAAGGTCACATAGCTGCTGTTCCTGGTGAAAATGTAGGAATCAAGTCAATTCTCAGTAACAAAGCATGACTTTAAATTCTGGTTGAAATACTATGCAGTCATGAGAAGTAAAGTGTGCTGGGTAAATCAGACGGAGGGAAAGCTCATGAGAGGGTATGTAGACATCAGTCCTGGAGCACACTCTGGGGTTACCTCCATGGGGAATTTGCTCACAGTGAGGGAAGGAAGCAAGGAGGAGAAAGAAAACAGGTGATGTGTCAGCCTGATCAAATGGAACATAGACTTCAGTTTCCTTTTTTCCCATGCAACATCTCATTTCTTTTCTATATTGATTTACTCTCTTTTATCCCTATACCTGCTCCCATTCCCTGATCCCTATGGCAACCGTTCTGATGTGTATTTTTTTTCTCAAAATGAGCCTTGTTTGCCTGCTGCTGTTTTTAAGTTGTGTAAATGGTATTGTGTTACCGTCTCATTCTGTTTCTTATCTTTTCACTAAGAGCTGTGTTTTAAAGATCCATCCATGTGGCTGTGTGTCTGCGGTATGGATCCACACTAATTATCCTCTACTCTTCCAGTGAGGGACACCCAGCTTTGCCACCCACTCCCTTCCCCTACAGATAATGCCTCACGTGTCATCGGTGGTGTGCCTTCCAGACCTTCCGGATGGTTAACAGGAACGCTTGCTGCATCAGCAGCAGCATGCCGTTTTTCTCCAGCAGCGAAACCTCCACTCCCCAACCTTCCGCAGTGTGTGTGGGGCCGGGGACCCTCGCCCCTGCCGGCAGCGACATTATGTGGCTTCCTAACATTTGCCAGTGTAATGGATCCCTATTAAATGTGCATCTCTCTGATTACTGGTGATTTTCGATGTGTCTTCTTGAGCTAACATGTGAGTTTTAGGTGTTTCCTCCTCTGAAATTGTCTTTTAAAAACTCAGCCCATTTTTCTTTACTGGCGACAGTGTTCTTGCTTTGATTTGCAGAACTTCCAGATGTCAACCGCTGGTTTCAGGTTGGCAAACACCTTCCTCCACTCTGTCCTGTGTCTGCCGACTTTGCCCGTGGTGTCCTTCATTAAACAAAAACAAATCTTAGTTTTGACATAATTAAATTTATGAGGTTTTGCTCTGACGTTTTGTGCTTATGAATTTTTGTTCGAGAAGTCCTTCCTTGCCCTTAGGTCACAAAAATATTTTCCTACGTTAACTTCGTAGTGTTACCATCCTGTTTAGAATCTTTCCTCTGCCTGGAGCCTCTCTCTCTGTATGAGGAGTTAGGTACGGATCCTGTTTTACTTTTCTCCATATAATAGCCATTTTCCAACACCATCGTCAGACCGTCCATCCTTCTTGGTGATGCCACTCTTATTGTTTATTAAGTCCTCGAAGTATACATAAGCCTGCCTCTGAGCCCTCTGTTCTGTTCCACTGGTCTTCATGCCTATCCCTGCAGAGACATCACGTTGGATTTACTGCTATGGCCTTGTAATATCTTTATATCTGCAGGTCAAGTCTTCCTGGTTTGCCCTCTTTCACTAAGGTTGACCTAGCTGTTTGAGGCCTATGCATCTTTGTATAAATTTTAGAATACATTTTTAGAAAGTCTAGAAAAGTCATTTGGAATCTTTATTGGAATTGCCTTATATTTATAGATTAATTTGTGAAGAGCTTTTATCTTTTGATATTATCTTTCTGGGAGCACGGAGCAAGTAAGTCTCCTTATTTCCTGTATATTTGTTATATTGTAATGAAAAATACCAGGAATGAAGAAACTGGGGCAGAACAGAGAGAACTGGGCATGGAGGCACGGTGGGGGGACCCTCCCTGCAGCACACAGAGCACACTGCAGTGCAGAGCCTGTAAGGTGACGGCCAAGGCCGAACTCTGGCTCAGTCGTGTCATGCGGGTCCAGGCGGGCCAGGCGCCGGGCAGCCCTCCTGGCCAGCATCTCGTTTAAGTCCTTAGCAGCCCTGTGGGGCAGCTGCTGCTGCCGCAGCTTCACAGGCTCAGGGGATGAGGAACTGGTCCCGGGCAAGTTGCAGAGACAGACTTTGGACCCAGCAGGCTGACCTCAGGGTTCGAGCTCTTAGCCACGGTACCGTCCACCCCCTGGGTTGCTGCTGTTACGGTTCAATGACAGGGGAACCCCGCCTATCCGTGCTGGTCGTTGGGGTGTATTTTTGCAGTAGCCCCTCTTGGCCTTAGCGTGTCCTCAGCTTGGCACTTGGAGCGGCCTTTGCAGTGACCCCAGGCAATGAAGGACCCCAGCCCCCCAGCCCTACCTGGCCCTGGGGTGGAGAGCCAGCTGGAGAAGGAGCACGTCCCCCCCACTAGCTGCACCCCCATCTGCCCTCTCCTCTGAACCAGGAAACAGCCCATTCGGGGCTTGTGGTTTTCTTGGTCCCACATCCCACTGAGCACATCTGGGAATTTTCTCTTGGGATTCTGGGGTCAAGGGATGATTCCTGAACCCAGGGAAAGCTCTGGGAGGAGGTGTTGGCTGCCAGGGGAGGCCCCACCCTAGCTTCAGCCCAGAGGCCTTGGGCAGGCTGCTAGGCCTCTCTGGGCCTCCATTTCCTCGTCCCCATGCAGGGCTGGCCCACTGGCAGAGCTGGAGAAGGAGTCTGGAAGGGAGCTTTTCCCTTCACACCCCTCCTGTCTTACATGCAGCTTGCAGAGGGTCACGATCCGCTTTACACAAGGGTTCCACCCGGTGTAAGCCAAGGGGCCCTCGGGGAGCCGCTGACTCCTGCTGAGTCAGTGCCAGACGCTTTGCTCCTGTCACCTCCCTTAATGCTGTGGGGACCAGGCAAGGGCGTCATGATCTCCATTTTACGGGGGGGTGGGGAAGCTGAGGCTCAGAGAGGTGAGGCGATGTGCCCAGGTTCACACAGCCCTTGAGTAGTAGAGCCAGGATTTGAACCCAGGCCTGTCAGACCCTGAGGCAGCTGTTCTTTCCAAGCACAGGTTAGTGGCTCCGAGACTCTGGGGGAAGGGAGCCAAGATGCTCAGTGTGAGGAGCACATGTCTGTGAAGATAAGCCCCAAACCCAGCAAGCGTGTCCACAAAAATTGATAATGTGGCTCCGCGGGTGCAGCGGCCCCACCCTGGTATTTCCCTTCCACGAACACAGCGGCTGGCACAAAACCCAGGCCCCTGACTTCCTGACGTTCACGTTTGCCGGGTGGGGGAGGGAGAAGGGGTCCACTGTAGGCTGAGGTCAGAGGAGGGGGCGGGCTGGCAGCCCAGGGGCTGCGGGGTCTATAATAACTTCTCACCTGTAGAAAGGGCTTGACGGGCCACAAAGCCTCTTGGAAAGGGTCGGGGCTGGGTAGCGATGGCGAGACGTCCCCAGCGGTCAGTTAAGGCTAGAGTCGGGGCATGAACGTGCCAGGTGGGGTTCCAGGGAGGGGCGGCCACCAGTGGTCTGCCCTCCAGGTAGGGCCAGGCCAGGCGGGCTGCTGGCTCTCTGCATCTGCTTTCCTGTTCTGTCTCTCTCCATCTCTCTATCTCTATCATCTCCATCTCTATCTCTATTATCTCTGTCTCTTTTTGTTTCCTACCCAGGAAACCAGCATGTGGTTATCAAATGGAGGCCCAGCCCCTGGAAGCGACACACCCCAGCCGGGTCTGTCTGAGACGCTCCGCTGACTCAGGGCCCCTTCCGGCTGGTGCCAAACTCCCGCATCCATCAATTCAGCCAAAACAGATTTATTCAGGGCCTGAACGTGCGAGGCTCGGGGTGGCCGGCCCGGTGAGCGAGGCATCGAAGGGCCTACTGTGCAGTAGCTCTGGTTCCGGGGGAAACGCCCACCCTCTCTCGGCTCGGCCCAGTCCTCTCCCCTGCCCGGGACCCCCCCACCCGTTGGGGTGCAGAGCCCTGACCAATTCGCCCTCCTCCCCCATGTGACAGCAGATTAGCGGTCGGGCCACCACGTGGCAGTCAGAGTAGGGACCAGGCGGCGTGTTGAAGTATGACACCACTGGGTAAGGGGCATTCTCTGAAATTCAGTGTCCCCAGACACCTGGAGGGCAGGCAGCCCCCTGAATTGTGGGGCCTCCTCTGTGAGGATCTGGC